TTTACACTACTACTATGGCCATAGTAATGAGCTAAACTGTCGTAATGAACGACTTTAGGTTTAGGGTTCGAAGACTTACGAATCCGAACCACGACGTCATTTAGTCTGTTCAGGACTGTGTGCGGACCATCCCAAGGTGACTGTAGTTTCGGACAACCTGAGTCCTTTCGTCGATCCAGTTCGACATTCCACACCTTGTCTCCTTCGTTGAATCGATGTCCAGTAGCTCTGGTATCGCATAGCGGGTCTTCATTTCTCCGTCGCTAAGATGACTTGCTCTCGTTGCAAAATTGTGCATTCACTTCAAACCGGGCCTGGAGGTCTTGGATGCATTCCATAGGCGATGAAGGCGCATCCAGAGGGCAACCAAATAAGAGATCATAAGGCAAACGAAGGTCACGACCGATGAGCATCTGGGATGGAGAATAGCCGGTAGTCTCATGTTTCTCTTCGACCCTAGTATAATTTCGTCAGCTTTCTTAGCAGGGTCTTTCAGACAAGTCGTCGGCGTTTCCAGGTAAGGATCCCTTTTGATGAAGGAGAGTTATATCCTCTGAAGCTGAAAGCAGTTTGTTGTTTTTGAAGTCCAAGGAAAAATTATATTTCCTTAAAAAGTTCTATGTGAGTATGCATGGATCTGTAATATCCGCCACATATGCCGTGTGATGGTAGGTGGCACTTCCAAACGTGATGGTCACGTTTAACTTCCCAGCTATGGAGATTTCTTCGCCAGACGCAGTCTGGAGGGTAACACAGGATGGCGTACAAATGAGTTTATCTTTAAACTGTTGAGCTAAATCTTTCCGAATGATGGTGACATTAGCTCCTGTGTCAATGATCATATTGCAAGGAACTCCATCGATAGGGCCATTGATGGATAGTCCATTACTGCTGCCACTCACTGGAGAAAACGCGCTTTAAAGCTGTGTTTTTCATTCTCTGGCAACCTCCATTCCTCGAGATGATCATTCATTTGTTTCCTGCGTCGTTGCTGGGGAAATAGTTTTAATTTCCGTGCTCTGGGGTGTTCTGCAGTTCCTTCGTAGGTGGCCTTCAACACCACAGTTCCAGCACTTTAGTGTCGGTTTCTTTTCACCAATATTCCGTCTCAAGGCATTCACTGGTCTTGTCATATCATCCGTTTTATTATCCGTACTTTGGGGTGTTTTGCAATGCCGTCGTATGTGTCCTTCAGCACCACATTTCCAACACCTTAGAGCTACTTTGTTCTCACTCCTACTCCGTATCAAAGCATTGACTTAAATAAATAGAAATTATAATAATGAATAATCATCTAAATAAGCCATCAATTTAGATAAATCATCTAAATGAGCCATCAATTGATCCACTGGCTCGTCGATTCGCACAGCTCTGACTGGGTAGCGATCTCTACGAGTTGCTTGCTTGGTTGCCTCGAATTTCATAGCGTACAACTGAGTCCTTCACATTTTATGTCCTTCACATTCGCCATTCGCAGAGCTTTCTGTATTTCGGGATCCCGGATGCCGTCGATAAAGTATTGCAGAGACAGGATTTCCCTCGTTTCTCTCGGGCACTCCGAAACGGCGAGATGGGACAGCCTTTCAACATCTGTGGCGAGTCCCTGGTGTGTTTCCGTGAGCTTCTGTTGGCGGGAATTTAATTGAAGCCTACTGTAGTCTTTCAAACACTTTTCCCCAAAGCGCAGCTCCAATGCGCCGGATAGAGCTTCGAAGTCAAGTCTCTGGTTTTGAATTGAAGAGTGAGTTTCTTCCGTCAAAGAAATATGTGACGGTTGTGCACGTATTTCTTGGTCTGCGTACGCGGGCAACAATTTTTGGTGTCAGGAATGGGGTTTGAATGCCAATAACAAGAGCGATGGAAGAACAATTAAGACAGTTAATATCAGCCTTTGCTTCGTTTAAAGAAGAATTGAAAGAAAAGATGGATGCTGGTCAAGCAGTGATGACATTGGGCCAAGAATCCGTTAAGGACGGAATGAAATTGGGCCAAGAATCCGTCAAGGAAAAGATGAAATCCGTTAAAGATGAGATGAAAGCAGGTCAGAAGGAAATGAAAAAGAGAAATTATCTGCATAATAGAAAACAAATTCGAGGCTATAGAAGGCAGAATAGACTCGGTCGAAAGTAAGGCTGGGGAAATTGAAGAAAGAGTTTCTTCCATCAAAGAACAAGTAGAAGCGAGAGTTTCTGCTGTGGAGTAACGAATTGTAGGAAACGTTTGTGCCGTCCTACACCAAATGGAACAATAAATTGATGACAGGGTTTCAGCTGTCGCCAAAGAAGTTGATACCCTGAAGAAATTCGTGGCGACGGCAGGGAGCAATTTGGATGGTTTTAAATTTTTACCCATGCCTGCTCGTCTCTCACTGAAGTTATCCACATATGATGGGAAGACATCCTGGCAAGTGTATAAGACACAATTTCCTATAGTGGCGGAAGCGAATGGATGGAATTCCCAGGCTAAGCCCTGTCATCTCGGCGCTTCTCTGAGAGCAGACGCAGCGGATATTCTGCAGACTCTTCCCGAAAACCAGAGACTTGACTTCGAAGCTCTATCCGGCGCATTGAAGCTGCGCTTTGGGGAAAAGTGTTTGAAAGACTACAGTAGGCTTCAATTAAAATCTCGCCAACAGAAGCCCACGTAAACATTCTAGGATTTCGCCACAGATGTTGAAAGGCTGTCCCATATCGCCGCCCTGCAATACTTTATCGATGGCATCTGGGATCCCGAAATACAGAAAGCTCTGCTAATGCCGGATGTGAAGGACATAAAAAGCTCTCTGTTGTACGCCGTGAAATTCGAGGCAACTCAGCAAGGAACTCCATCGATACATAGTCCATTACTGCTGCCACTCCTGCAAAAATCTTGAGCGCTTTAAAGCTGTGTTTTTCATTCTCTAGCAACCTCCGTTCCTCAATATCGTCATTCATTTGTTTCCCGCGTCGTTGCTGGGAAATAGTCTTAATTTCCGTGCTCTGGGGTTGTTCTGCAGTTCCTTCGCACGTGGCCTTCTGCTGCGCAGTTCCAGCACTTTGGTTGCAGTACGAATTGGAGCGAGAACATTCTAGTGCGAATTCTTACCGGTTTTACCCAGAATGTTTTCGAAGGCAGGTCAAAAGCTATAAATACCCCGCCTGTACGTGGAGTATCAGTGTATCTTGAGTTTTATCGTGAAGCGTATCTTCAATATGTTGAGTTCAGTAGTGTAGTGTCTTGAGTTCAGAAATTAGCTCGAGAGCGATCGACTGAGTTGAAAGCTGTACTTTAGTGCTTTGGCCGGAATTTGTCTTCACCATTGTAGCTTCATAGCCTGAAGGCTGTGTTGCTGATTGGTTCAGTGTGTTTTTCGTAGTTTTTCGACGACTGTAACGCATCTCTGGAACTGTCCTGTGTTTACTGACGAATAAATTTTGTTTTGATTCTTCATCAAGTGTGTCATCAATTACTTGCTTTCTACGACGGGTTCGTGGAATTGAACAACAAATACAAAAATTTGTATAAAAGTAGTTTTTTATATTCATAAACTAAAACCAAATAATTAACAGATAAATAAGACTGACCGCATTAACCTGCTTGAAACTAAGAAATTCCTCCTCGAGTATTACTTTATAGGATGGAACTTACTCCTGGGATGCTTTACAGGTTTGTTACCTTGCAACGTGCAAACTATTTTTATACTAACATTAGCTAAAATAACATGTCGAAAAACATCTGAAGATTCAGCTTAAGTTGCATGAATTTGTAATATCTTCAGTATTTGTGGTGCTATAAAAGAGTAGTGAAACTGACACCAGATCGTGCTTCGACATTTAGGACCAACGTCTTGTCTTGGGCATCTGCTGAGTATAGTAAACCTTGGTTATCATTTCTCAGTCTTTGTTAAGACTTCTCAGTATTTAAGAATACCGTAAACTTCTCTGAAGTCAATCTATAATCAATTTTTGTGATATAGCCTGCTTATCGATCTTTTCAACGCTGTTCTACTTCTCTTCAAGTTCTTCTAGCAAATAAATACCTTTCTATTTCTTCCGTTGTGGATTCTAAGGGTTACAATTTTCAAAATCGAATTTCAATTACGGTATTGTCCCAACTAGCGCTCTATTGGATTTCGTTAGTTAGTTAATCAGTTTCATACTAGATGGCGCCACCTCTTTTTCAGACTGCTATTGGTAAAAGCAATGTTTATGCTTAGCGTTTCTTTCACATGCAGTTTTTACGTTGAATTTGCGAAGAGTTTTAAAATGCTGTCTTCGAATTTTTAGTATCAATTTACTCTCAAATAGAATTTTTTTTTTTTTTTTTTTTACGTTTACATTGCAAAGAGAGGAAATAAGAAGGAAATGAAATAACTATTATTTTAAGAGGCAATAATGTTTAATTTCTCTCTCTTTTAAATTCGTTGTCTCTGTTTTTTTAATACTCTGCTTGCTACAAAATGTTTGTAAATAGGCTTTCAAACAACTACATATAGCAGTACAAAATTGGGTTTAGTCTTACCTCTTATCTGTTTTCATTCACTATATGCCTGAAATTCTTGATATAATCTATATCCTTAACATTTAGGGGTTGACTTTTAGTTATATTAATATCGACTAATTCACTGAAATATTTAAACCAACTAATCCAATTTTTAAAAAATTTCATTCTTAGCATAAAACACAGCAAGAGCACTTAAATATTTTGCTAAACGTAAAAAATTATTGATATTAAATAATAATAAATCTGATCATGCAAATTTGAATAAAATGGCGGAAGAAAGAAATGGGTAAAAGCAACAATTTTAGTGTTGCCATCTATCCATCCGTAAAGTAACTACACAGTTAAGTAGTAAGATAGATCACCTATTGGAAGAATTGAGTATTAATTAATCTCCTCAATGACTTTGAACAAAGACTTTCTGTAATGACGCAGTCCTCGCGTCTTTGAGCGATTGAACAATAGCAGCGTTTACATTACTGTAAAGTCTTGTTTTATTGTTACCTTCTTTTTGTTTTCAGGATTACCTCTTCTTGTTCAGCGCAGCATAGCACGAATGATAACCTTGCATGAAATTGTTGGAAAAGGTCGGTATGGGGAAGTATGGAGAGGGAAATTCCGAGATGATGCCGTGGCTGTCAAGATATTTCCCTCAAGAGACGAAAGGTCTTGGTACAGGGAAGTCGAGATCTATCAAACAGTTATGTTACGCCATGCCAATGTTCTTGGTTTCATTGCCGCTGATAACAAAGGTAAGTGTCTTTCTTTCTTTGACACTTTTAGTTTTAATAACTTGTTCGGTATTTCTAGCCCAAACATTTTTAATATGGAAAGTCTTCCATATTAAAAATGCACCAGTTAACTCTTTGAAGACCAAAACGACCCAAACGTCCATTCATTCAGACGACCACAACCACCCAAAACGACCAAGATGCCGAATTTTGTTTTCTTCCCTCTCCTAAGGTATGCAGCACCAGAAGCAGTTTCCCCAAATGCATTATATCAGTTTATCGCAGACAGCTCGCCTAAAGGATTTATTTGTGGTTTCTTATCTTTATTGCGTTAGAAGTAGAAAGAATCATTTGAAATCTTCACTTGTCTTTGTCCGTTAATGGATGGGGAGGGGAGGAAATTGCAGTGACTCTCGAAAAACATTTCGGGTGGTTCGGTATTTCAACATACAAGTTAGCGAAGGTTTTGGTTTTCTGAGAGTTAAAAAAATTCCTAAAAGCCTATGCAAGTTGGGAATATATTGGATATAATTAACGCTGCAGATGTTTAGCCAACCCCACTTGAAAAAATCACTTTTAGGTAGAAGTAGGGTAAGGTCTGTCCTTCAGATTTTCCAACTCGGGGCAGAGTTGGAAAATCCATGAATTAAGTTGTTGCAAGGGACAGAATTTAGCACAGTAATAAGTGTGGTCGCCAAATAACGATGACACACAAAAAATAAACCAATGTCTATACTATTGGAACAGTTTTATTACAATAAATATTTAGAATTATTTACTCTTTCCACTATTTTAAATCCATCCATCAACTTACATTCTTAGAAAGAATTTTTTTCAAGGCAAATTGTCACCATAGCAACCGTTTGAAATTTAAATTGCGATAATGATATTTTCGTTTCGTTAAATTTTAAAAACGATTTTTTAAATAAGCATAAATTTTAATTTATTGTTTTTAATATTACTGTTAGATAAAGAAAATTATATTATGCCCAAAAAGGCTTTTTAACATTTTGTGTATTACTTATTAAATATCATGTTCTTCGCTCTTAAACTATAAAATTCAATTCAACAGCAACATCACAAAATATTTAAAAGATCATATCTTTAGAATTTCCGAAACACAGTCTTGCTTGCTGGAGATAAAAATGTTCCCCCCGTTCCGTACAGTGTTGCCATTGCTCGCTTTGAAATCGTTGAGTTTGTTAATCAAAAATTCTTTAATGTCTGACAAAATATGAAATAGATAATAAGACATATTCTAAATTGCAAATTAGGGCTTCTAGATGCCCATATTCGGTGGAGGAATTACGTAATTCAAAATTTATTATAGCTCTAGGCACCGTTGTTTTATCACACTGCGAGAAACATACATACATTTAATGCAGATTCTTCATTATTTAATTTCTTTAAATATAACACACGGCGATAATATTTGGTGGCAGCAGTTTGAAAAGTGGAACGGAAATTTAAAGTTTTCAATGCAGAATGCCAAAACGAAATTAATAGCCCTTCTGGCCTTTTGGACTGATTATTAATATTTAAATATTTTAGAGTTCTTAGTACCTTTGTACTACTACTATAAGCATATTAAATAAATGCATTCAAGCTTTATATTAGCTAATGGTAATATGACTGAAACAGTTTGGGAAAACTTCTGTAAGAACAAAGTTTAATTACATTCGTGTTCCAGATATGGTTAATATTGGTTACATTTGTCGTGTTTCTCCTTAAAACAGGTCTGTAAGAGGTCAGATTAACTCTTGAGATCGAAGTTAACAGCTTGAACAGCGTGCATTTGCGTAGGAAGGAGCACGTGATGTAGATTTTATTTTTTCATCCTTCGCCAGACATGTTGCACGTATTCATTATCAAAATCTCAACATGTTACACGGTGCAACAATTTAATACATTTAAGATTGCATTTTAGAAAGGTGCTGTAGTGAAAGCAATACCGTCCTTGGGTATTAAAGTCTGTTCATGTGATTGCAGATATTGCCGTATATTTTCATTGTATGAAGAGGATAGCAAGTACCGTAATGGTTAGGCTTAGTTATAAAGAATAGTTTACTCTGTAATCGGAACTTTGAACCCAAGAAATGCGAGCAAACTTAACGGCTACGCTTAATGGAATCATTTTTAATGCGATGAGGAATCACCGAAATTTTGTATGACATTATCCTCTAAGCTGTTCATTTGTTTTGTCATCTAGACTTTTTATTTCTTTATTGCAGAGAATCTCAATTTTATTTTTGAAAAAGCGCTTGTTTTGTAGAGTTCGCACGCATTTCTTGGGCTTAAATAAGTTCACTAGTGTAAATGGGCCTATTTGGACATTCCCTCTCTCTCATCTTTTTATTTGCGAAATGTATTGGAAAACATTTATTATCATGTATATTGTATATTGGAAAATATTTGCACTGTTTCAGTTACAGGTACACTGCCTCCCCAAAAATAATGGGAGAATTCTATATCTCCCATTCTACTGCGCCGATTGACGAAATTCAAATTGTGTTTCTCATGTCTCGAAATCGCGACTTAGGATATGTATTAGATTTATATTTAGCATTGTTTTAATATAGGTATTTTTACACAAAATCTGACTTTATCTGAAATGACATGCCCTTTTTTTTTTCCCCATATTTCGATTCTACGACTCAAATTATGCCAAACAGCTATTTATTTTTGATTTCTTTATTCCTTCTTCCAGAATTCGAAATTTAGGCGTAATACAAATACAATTCTCACATTTTTTTATGATTTATTTTTAATTTGTATTTTTAAATAATTTTTATAAATTTTTCGAAAAAAAATTTGTATTATTTATTACCTGTAAAATTTTTAACATCATCTTGAAGCAGATGTATTTCTAGGCACACCTGCAAAAACATTAGTTTTTTATTCAAAAGTTTCTAAGATATATATGAATTTACTTATTGCCGCGTTGTGAAATTTGGCATATTTGATGAAAGCAATAATAACATCAAATGTGTTTTACGCACTTGTTAAAATTATTTAAAAGTAGGAATAAAGTCTTTTTTTCCCGGTCATGCACAATGTAAAAAGGGAAAGGAAAATAGGTTGCCATAAATTAACAAGTTCGTCAAGTGAATTATTTTTGGTGCAAACTGAAAAAAACGCGCCAAGATAAATTTTTGAATTTTTTCGTAAATTCCTTACCAAATTTTGCAAAATTTAATATTTAGGCATAATTTGAGTCGTAGATTCTAAATATGGAAAAAATTGGCATGCCATTTAAAAAAAAGTCTGATTTTTGTGTCAAAATACCTATATTAGAACAATGCTATATATAAATCTCATACATATCCTAAGCAGTGTTGCCAGATCGTACGATTTTTCACAAATTTGTGACTTTTGACAAAGTTATGCTACTAAAATTTTAGCATTTGCGATTTTACGAAGCTTTTGCGACCGCCATCATATCCTTATGCTACTTTTGCGAATTCAAAGATTTTTCTAATATATCATAAAATGATCAAAATCGTAAAAACAACCTTGTATTTAGCGTAGGTATAATGAAACACTCAATCGATTTCGAGGGCAGGTAAAGGTCGCTCCTCATCAGGAGAAAAGACAACACAGAACTATGTACCTTTATACTAATATTCATGATTTTAGTGCTCTACATATTTTGTTTTTAAGACAGTCCCCCCGCCCCCTCAGTTCTATGGTGATAACGAATCGAACAAAAGAACTTGCAGCTTGCGCGCCACATATTAGGTACCTGAACAGAGACAAAAATAAAATTCGTCATCCTGATTATAATATTGCTAAGAACTAAGGAATAGAAATGGCTTAAAAAATTAAAGGAACTTGAATTAATATAAATAACATCACAAATAAATATAGCAGTGAAGGAACAAACAAGGCTTTCTTAAGCAATCCAGGTGGCAGCTTAGTATACAGGATTCTGTATGCTGCTTAACTCAAACCACCTCTAAATTTAATCCTGCTTCCTCCCAATATACTGTATGTAGTAAATAAGATTCTGCTATTCGCTATCCTTTTTGGTTTAGTAATTATAATGGCCAGCAGTGTATATAAAGCAAGACTAGAAGCAGAACCATGCAACATAGTCATGATATTCAAAATATCAAAACTATGCAACAAAATATTACCAGGAAAGTAATGCAGAAATGGAATTTAATTTTTTGTGCTTTACAACCCAGAACGGAAAACTCACTCAAAAAGCATTCCTCAATTAAAATGTTCATAATTGAGGGGGGGGGGAACTGGATTAAAAAAATTAACTGCCAACTCAGAAAATTTAGTACAAAAGCGCTAACAATCTAAACGCGAGGAATATCTTACAAATTAATTTAAAAATAGAAATCTAAATTAAATGAGAATTAATTACAAAAGGAATGGATATTTAAACAATTGAAAATGAGCAATATAGTTTTAAAATTTTCGTTAAACCTAAGATATGTAATTTAAACGACTCAGAATCCAATACAGTCTGTAACTTATCGAACAAATCAGATACATTCCGCAAGAGAAGAAGAGGAAGAATGACATTGTTTGTTTACATTAGCGCTATACAAAAGTCACGTAACCACTGAGGCTGTTTGCTAGCATTAGCTATACATAAGACACGTGATCTTTGAGGTCATCGGAATGTATCTCGTAGACATAAACAGGAAATTTGTGATGACGTCAGAGGTCATATGAGCACGCGTAACTACAAAATCACGTGATCTCTCTGACGTCATTTATGACGTTTTACGAATTTTGTAGTCTTCTTTTGCTACTTTAGTTAAAAAATTTCTACCAGCACTGATCCTAGTTGCGCTTTCGAGACATGAAAAACGCAATAGGAATTTCGTCGGCCCAGTAGAAACGGGAGATATAGAACTGTCCTTTTTTTTTCACAGTGTACATTAAGCGTATTAAATATTTAAAAAAAAAATGTTTAAGACATGCCGAAAGTTGTTTTCTTGACCCAGTATTGAACGTAGGCGAACGAATTGGTTCCATGGTTTGTTTTCATGGTTTCACCATAGTGCAGTGTGATTACTAACCAGTTTCTGTTGGAAAATCAGCCACAAAGACGTTAGCCAGAAGGCCTATTAATTTCGTTTTGGCATTTTGTGGTGTTTCACTATAAACGGCGCTTCACATTTCCTATTGTTGCCACCTAATATTATCACCCTGTATTATATTTAAAGAAATTAAATAATGAAGAATCTGCACAAATGTATATATATTTCTCGCATTGTAATAAAACAACGGTACCTAGAGACATCAAGTTTTGAATAATTTTTCATATTTATAAGTCATATTTTGTAATGCATTTATGAGTTTTTGATTACAAAATTCAACGATTTCAAAGCGAGCACTGGCAACATTGTACGGGGGGGGGAAGCATTTTTATCTCCAGCGTGCGAGACCGTGTAATGGAAATTCTAAAGATATGCTCTTTTTTTAATTATTTTGTTATATTGCCGTTGAATTGAATTTTATGGTTTAAGTATGAAGAACATGATATTTAATAAAAAAAAGGTAACACACAGAACGTTTTAAAAAAAAGCCCCTTTGGGAGTAATATAAAATCTGAAAGCGTTCTGATTTTTTCCCCCCCTGAGTATATTTTCAAAAGTTTTTTTTTTTTTCCCCTTGCCGGTGGCTTTTGAAAAGAGCTTTTAAAATCACCTTATATCCAGGTCAACACCGGTTTTAAAAATTGGATGTTAATTATTCAGTAGTATTTTTAAAACGTATTAAATTTGGTATGCATTTTCTTCGCCCCTCCCTTTCAATAACTTTTGAACTTCTCTGAAATTTCCCCAACTAATTTTACCTTTTAAAGTGAATGTTTCATATTGTTAGTTTTTACCTGTTTGCATGTTATGACCTTGAGACAGAAATGTTGTATTCTCTTTAGATTTCGAGATCTAATTAACGATACTACGCTTGCTGTAGGTTGCTAAAAATTAACTGATAAAATTTTAAAACGAGAGAGAAGGGAGGAATAAGGGGAGAAAATGCTGTGATCCATCTTCAGGTGGTGGAGATCTGACTGTTGATGAAGCCATATATATAATGTCGTAGATAACTCATATTGCTATCTCCTGATGAAAGTAAAGTGTTAAAGATGAGATGATGTGAAACTAAAGTAGACCAAAACTGAGCTTGCGAGTTCATTTCATGTTAATGTATATATATTCAAAAGGTAAGACTGTAAGGAATTGTCACATCTCCCTATGGGTGCCTCTGCAGTGTAAATGATAAGTATTGAAAGAACCGTGGTTTGAATATCGGTGAAAGCACAGTTTATTTGTCACATTTCTGATTCTGTAAAATCAATATAGTCCCTACAGTGGCATCCAAATAAAAATGTGGTGCCCAATAATCCGTTATCGCAGGGGTTTTGGTCGACTGGGTCTCGTGTTTTTCCCAGGTCGCATTTAACAGGAGAAAAATATAAGGACTGTCACATTTCCTTTGTATAATCCCGTGTCATAAGTAGTTAGGTTGTCCGGTTAATGCTTGGAAGATGTGTGGTTCGAATCTCGACGATGAGAAAAAAGCTTTTTTTTCCCCTCATTTCCTGTACCGAAAATCCTGTTAATCTCTGCAGACCTTTAGAATTTGTTATCGATTTCTGGTTTAGTCACGTAAGTCTTCCTAATTTTGTAAAAAGTTTAGTCACAAAATTTTAATGATAATTTAAGTTATTATTAATAATAATAACAGCAAAGAAAATAATAGTTGACCGTAATTAAATATTTTATTGTAATAAATGTTCGATGATAATAATAAGTAGTACTAAATATCTTCGCAAGAAACCAAGTGCAAATCTGATCACGATTTTACGCAAAACTTAACCATTAATGGCTAAAACGAGCAGTCACTCACCCCTTCTAAACTTGTTCTTTAATTTGTCATGAAATTTACGTCGATAATGCGCATGCAAAGGTTATTTAAATCGATTAAGTTGTGAAAAAAATTCTTTGTAACAGTAACTGGTATTTGTAGTAATAAATTATTATCTGTAAACTGTTCTTTTAACTAGAAATTGTTTTCAATTTAAAAATCTGCTAAAATGTGTGGCAGGCGCTTAATGGTAAAGTACCCCCAAAATAATTTATCTATGCTCGCAAAATAAATTTTTATTCAGGGTTTCATTTCAGAAATTTTAACTGTCGTTGTGGACAAATTGTTTAAATTTTCATAGCTTGCACTAAAATATTTTTATTAATTCTCACAACTTATGGAGCCACAATATTCTCAAAACATTTATCTGTTATATTAGTTTTACTTATGGATTTCATTTTTCATAGTAATTGAGTAAATTTCATATCACTCAAAGAAAATGGTACTGAGCGCATTTCGGTATCGATTTCATACCATGTTGGTCCTGTGAATGTAAGCACTTGGCCCCTAAGTAAACAATTTAGATTTCGTGCTACAATTGGATGATTTCGATGTTCAAAGGATTAACGACGATACATACGATAGATGGCGCCATGACTGCTCGCTCAAAACTTCTGTAAAACCAAAGTTGGCCTTGATCGTGGTTTTACAATTACGAATTATACTGAGTATAAGATGACCTTGCCACGATAGGTGGTCAACTTTCCCTACAATATTATGTCATCAGGTTTAATAACAAATAGATCTAAGAATTTGTGCATTAAGTGAAAAATTGTTGATTGTGTAAAATGCATCTTATATTATTCTTGTAAGATTTATTCAACATTATCTTAGTATTTAAAGATCCTCATTTAGTTTTCAGGAATTATTTTGTGTGAAGTATTAAAAACCTTTCATAGGTGTTTTTTTTTTTTTTTTTCTAAGAAAATCTTTTAAATTTACACAGAAAAATAAAAGATAAGGAAAATAAATTTTTCATCTTGATAAATTTTAATATATTTTTTTAAATTTTAAACGCTGATGAAGAGCATAATTGATGTGATTTATATTATAAAAAAAATTGTGCTCGAATTGCCTTAACGAATTGTGTTACTCATCCTCATCATTAAAATGATAAACTAACATAAAAGTCGGGGAAAATATTTTTTTAAAATTAAACTTATGTGTATTTTCTGTACTTCATATTTACTCGGTTACTATATTAATTATATAGTAATAATAGAGATTAATATAAGCTACTCTATTAATAATAAAGGAATGGATGGATATATATATCTTGGAAAATGATGAATATAAGCTACTCTAATAATAAAGCTTATTAAAGATGATCGATCCTTTTGAAAAATGAAGAGTTTAAACAACTGGTAACTATAAAACTTTATAATTCATGTAATTTAATATAACAGAAAAACTCATTTAAAAATAATAAGAAAATCAAAACATTTAATTATTACTGATTCTATGGAGAAAGGCTGACTTTCCAAAGGGAATTAGCCCTTCTCAATAAAATCACTAACAGTTATTGAGATCTGTGGCAGAGGGTTGAGATCTGTCAGTCAGAGCTTGAATTCAATATTTATGTGCCAAAAAAACAGGTGCAGATTTCACATTAATATTTGTTATAAATTGTTACGCTAAAGAAATTTATTATTTATCTATACCTAATTATATTTAGAATTATATCAGGAGCAATTTTTTTTTTTTTAAATAAATGAATAAATGGTATTTTTTTTTCCCCTATTAATGATCGTTAATAAAAAATGTGGTTATGTGGAAGCTGGGGGGGGGGGGTTCCTCGAACTTGAACATTGTCACAAGGATTCCATAAAGGGCCATTCCCAGTGGTGTTTATGGAAAAAAACTGGTTTTGGAAATGGATCTGCTACATCATTTGTGTTTGTTAGCTCAGATAAACCTCAGTGAGAACAGCCCTTAAGAGAGAAAAGGTTGGGAAATACTGTTCTGCAGCATTTCAGATGAAATAATGACACAAGTGATGCAATGCAGATTTCTTAAAGGAAGCATAGCCAATATAAAGTCAGTGATGTAATGCGGATTCCTTGAAGAGAGCATATCCAATATAAAGTCAGTGATGCAGTGCAAATTCCTTGAAGGGAGCATAGCCAATATAAAGTCAGGAATTAAAAGGGCTTTTACCAAATGTAGTAATTTTCCTCCATATTTCATATATATTACTGCTGCATTGTGTCAACAGTAATACAGTAGTGCCTTTCTAATTTTAACTTTTATTTAATTACTTTCAGACAATGGTACTTGGACTCAACTATGGCTGATAACAGATTACCATGCTAATGGTTCCTTATTTGATTACCTTAGTCATAATGTTATAGATAGTGCCATTATGTGCAAAATGGCTTATTCAATAGCTAATGGGCTTGCACATTTGCACATGGAGATTCTTGGTACACAAGGTAAAATTCCAGTCTTATATCTTTTGTAACATTTAATTATATAAAGCATGATTTAACTAATTATTCACCTTCTAATTATTCAGCATTTAACCCACACACGTATTGTTCCCCTTATAGCTTGTGAATTTGGTATACCATTGTTCAAAAGGCTAGGACAAATATTCGAATAAGTGACTTTAAATAATAAGAGAAATAATTCATGTATCTTTCAATTTTCTTCGTGAAGTATTGGGTGCATGTTATATGGCGAATATACCTAAAAATGTAAAAATGTAGCTTGAAATTATAGGTGCACGTTATACACTGGAAAATACGGTAATTATAATCACTATAATATTAAGGACAATCTGTGTATGAACATGCTACATGACATTTTTGTGTTTGGATTTAAATTTAATTTTGGATGCAGTTCATTTAATAACAAATTGAAGACTAAAATAAGCTGAATGCTGAAGATGACTCTAAAACTTGACATTTTCTGCACTTATGCATTGATTTAAATAAGTCAAACAATATTCATAAAAAAATTAGTGTTGTAAAGTAATTAAAAACATAATATTATTATTGGCTTCAGTTATTATTTGGAAGTAAATTTTCTTCACAAAAAAGTTTTTAAATTAATATATTGCCAATGATACATGAAAAAAAAAACTTTATTTTTATAACTGTGTATTCTCAAAAATTAAAGTATTACCAATGATACTTCAGAACTGAATTGTTTGTTTTTGCAATTGATATAGCATAGACTTTACTGTGATATGCATTGCATAAATGTTACTGTAAAAATTTATCGATGCCTGTTATCTTTCAGGTAAACCTGCCATAGCACACAGAGATCTCAAAAGCAAGAATATATTGGTAAAAAAAAATGGCACATGCTGTGTTGCTGACCTTGGACTGGCAGTTCGTTATGATTCTGAAAGTGGAAAAGTAGATATACCTCCCAATCCTAGAGTTGGCACAAAACGATACCTTGCACCTGAGGTTCTTGATGAGTCAATAAACTTGAATCAATTTGAATCCTTTAAAAGAGCTGATATATATGCTCTTGGTCTAGTCTTATGGGAAATTGCAAGGCGCTGCAATATCGGTGGTTAGTATGGAAATATTCTTTTTCCTTTTTGAATTATTGCTGCTTATCACATATGTGGGAAAGTGCCATCTGGCTTAAAATTTATACTATTCACACAGTCATGCTACTGAAGTGCCAGAAAGAGTGAAGATGTGCACAAAAGAGATTCATAGCAGTAGCTAGTAATTTAACAGACAACAGGATTGGCAGGGCCTGTCTTCTCGAGGAGGAATGGGTCAGTGCTAAGTGCTGTCTTAAGCTGACTGATCTTTGCACAAAAAAGAGACAATGGGTGCAGTAGGAACAGATTCTCATTCATCCATATTCTGTAATTTTGAGTATTGACAGCACCTTCATTGTTAATGTGCAAATGAGCTTTGGTTGTCCACAAAATGTTCATCCATTATTCTCTTCCATCAGAGTATGAAATTTAAGACAAAAGCTTTAGCAAGTAAGAAAGGGGAATTTCTAAACATACATAATTTTGTATGGATAACATTACGAAATTTTTTGTAAAATTTTACAAAATTAGAAAATTTTAGTTTCTATTTTCATGAGGATTCTTACGTTTTTTAAGAGGGAAAGCAAAATATTTTAAATTATAATAACAAGTGACTGAAAATGACATACCTGGGTAAAGGCAGTTTTGCCCACTCAGGGAGTTAAAATTTCTTATAATTAAGTAAACAGCATATCTAAGGCAATTAGGGGAACATGTGAAAACCAGCTAGTTGTTTCAGTCTTTCCCTTTTTGTAGAGCTGATGAGACATGAAAATGTCCATTCCCATGAAAACCTGACTATGCTCAAATGGCATATGATTTCAAAAGAGTGTAATGGTGCTCCTTTTTTTAATGTTAGTTAAAAGGATATTTGAATAGTTAATGCTTAAAATGTTAGGGTATTAGCCCAATCCCTTTAGTCCATTGACAGCACACCCCTGTATCATATGTATGTACTTTGTATGCAAGTTATTATTATTATTCTCCTTACATAAAGTTTGCATTACATTTTGGAAAAAAAAAAAAAAAAAAAAATGTGAGAAAGGTTCTTGAAGCTTTTCTACTCTTAATTATGTAAAAGCTTAATTTCTTATGCTCTAGAAATATTTATCATTGGAAAAATTTTCAGTAATGGGGATGACCTTACAGTGTGAATTCAATACTTTTCATATCAGTTGTTTAAGAACCAGCAATACTGACATTAGCAAAGGGAACAAAAAAAAAAAATTTAGTTTAACACATAAATTATTCTTCTTCAGTTGCACTAAAGCCTATTACAGGCCAAGGCGGTTTCAACAAGCTTCCTCCAATGGATCCGATTAGTCTCTACATCTGCCATCAATTGACTGAGTCCTGATATCTGCTTTCACACAGTCTATCCAACTAGTGTGATGTCTTCCTCTTTTCCTGGTAACCTCTACATTTACAAAGGTCACCTTTTTAACAGGGTTCAAGCTGCCAAATCTACAAATATGTCCAAGCCACCTGATCTAATAAGATTTGATACTCAGAGAATATTAGGTTGTTTGTATCTTCTATATGTTTCATGTTGTACAAAATTCTCCATCTATTATTTTCTCTAATTGGGCCATATATTGTTCGCAGTATTTTTCTTTCAAAAATTAGAAGTCTCTCTTCATCTGTTTTTGTTAATGGCCAACATTCACTGCCAAACAATATGATAAGTCTAATAAGAGTTTTATAAAGATTTATTTTTGTCTTGAAGTTTAATAATTTAGACACTAAAAAATTCTTAAAGCCATGGTGACATCTATTAGCTTTAAATAATCTATTGTCAATTTCAAGTGTAATATTATTTTTGTTAGAAATTATAGTACTGAGATATGTAAACTGAGAAACGCCTTTGAAAGTATAAGACTTTATTTGCAGTGGGATAGGATGACGTACTCTCCTAGTTACTGCCAAGTCCAATCTCTGGCTGCAGACGCTACAAAAAGAAAAGTCTCCAGAATCGCTTGTTTACTTTTGCCAGTAATGTCAATGTCATCAGGGTACATTAGTAACTGTATAGATCTCTGAAATATGTGCCTCTGGTTATATGACATATAACTTACATCTGTTAAAAAGAAGTTTTTTGTGGATATGGAATGCTGAAATCTGTTAAAAATTACTTGAGATTGATTTGCATATATATTGAAGGTGTGCAGTGTCCCTTATTTGTATCCTTTATCCTTATCCCTACGATTAGGCTTTGATTTTGCAAGACATTTCATATTCTTAAACAAAAATATTTTGTAAAATTTCAGCATTTCCTCGTAACTTATCTATATGTTACCAATAATTTTTAGATCATTTGCAATTATCTGGTGATTATCAGAATTTCCATCTGGTAATTTTATCTGTCCTCTTAAATGATAGTTTAATGATTAAAAAGTATAATTTATGAATGCCACAAATATTAATTTTATGCATGTTGACAATACTTCTGTTTAGATTTACTTGAATGGATGCAGTATTTTTTTTAGTTCATCAGATAAAGAGTTAAAATTTTTAAATATGGAACTTGAATAATTTACTGAAATTGACTGGTTTTGATGAATATGTAAACTCATGATTTGAATTTTGTTAGCTAATTTTGGCAAACGAAAAGTTTGGTGTTCAATACTGTTATATCAAAAAATTTTTAAGTTTCTCATTATCATATATAGCAAGATTAATTTTCGTTAATGGGAAATTTTAAACTTCTGTTAGCTATACTGATGTAAATTATGGTAACAGGAAATGTTATAAATTTCTGGGTGGCATAGTAGCTTGAAGAAATAATTATATAGTTTGATTAGAAGAAATAAAAAATCGAAATTGCAGAAAATTTTTGAAATTTTGTAGTTAATATATTAGAGAAGAAGGAAATGGCAGCTAGATTATTACCTTGTTGATGAGAGGATTCTTCATTAAAACTCTAAATTGATAATTAAAGGAGAGACATCTTTACTGGTAGTAGTACCTTTTAAATAATTAACTATTTGTGAGGAACAGACACTGAGTTCATATATCGTTCTTTACATGAGTGTGCAACTGACATTATAACAGTTGTTGCTGATTATTAAAATAAAGAAGTGCTGATTACTAAAATAAAAAATCTATATATTCATCTGATTTTTGATCTCACATATCTGCTGTTGTACCTTATATTTTAACATCATGTTAATTAAGAATTAACTCTATATTATCATTATTTCTTAAGATATTATTTGAATAAGGATCCTTTCACTGTACTTAAAATAGGTCTGAAATTAAAGAAGCATTAACATATATCTTCATGACTGCCTATATAAAAAATGCTAAAATGTAAAATGCAAAATATTCTTTCAGAAATTTTCATGAGTTTGGTTGTCCTCAAAATTGTTTAGAGCATTCCTGTTAAATCTCAAAGCAACAGAAAAATAAAAGAGAAGAGAAATGCTTGCTTAACAATTTATTTCTAGAAAACTCAGAATTCCTGCTTGATTATTAAAAAATATGTTTTGTGTTTTGTAGTGTTGTATATTTATTACTGAAATTACTTCTTATATATTAATGTGAGATTTCATAATATAAATTTTCATCTTAAATATCATGCCTGAATTTTAAAAACTAATTTAGAAACATATATTTATAGGTATTTTTGATGAATATCAGCTGCCATATTATGGGATGGTCCCATCTGATCCTACACTTGAAGATATGAAAAAAGTAGTTTGTACTGATAAACAGAGACCTCCATGTCCAAACAGATGGCAGTCATTTGAGGTATTTTCTTGGATGCTATTTATGCTTGTCATGATTTGTCATTTCAGATGTTTTTCTCCCCTCCCTGTAGTTAAAATAAATACCTAAATGGGGAGAAACACTTAAGATACATTATTTTAATAATTAAAGAATTCTTATATATGATTTACATTAAATGGCAGTTTATTTTCTTGTTGTATTATACTATTGTACTGCAAACACAAAATTCATTCAGTCACTTTTTAATGTATCCGTAATGTGCTAAAGCATTTCATTCATGTTTATTTGTCCAACTTCAATATTTGCATTGATGTTAATAAGGGAACTAGTCCACTGTATAGAAGAGAGAGAAATTTAGAAACAATGTTCTTATAAATAGTGTTTCAGTTTTCTCGTGTAATATCTTGTTTAGTAAAGTGTAGATAATGTTGCGTTATATGTTTTCTTCTGACACCAGTTGTTACGTTATTTTCTTCCTTCACGTTTGTAGGGGGTTCGTAGATTTAGAGTGAATAACGATGGTGTCAGAAGTGGGATTTGAGGGTGAATGCCAGTGACAAGAGCGAGGGAAGAACAATTAAGACAGCTCGTGACTGCCTTTGCTGCATTCCACGAAAAGATGGAAGCCGGACAGAAAAAGATGGAAGCCGGACAGGAAGAGATGAAAGCTGAAATGAAAGAGATGAAGCTGGACAGGAAGAGATGAAAGCTGAAATGAAAGAGATGAAAGCCGGACAAGTCGAACAGATGAAAGTCGAACAAGAAAAGATTAAAAGCAAGATCGTGGAGCTTAGAAAGGATACCGGAGCAAAAATAGCTGCTGTGGGAGAACGATTTGAAGAAAAATTGAGAAAATTCCGGAAAGAAATAGATGTTTTGAAAGAAAACCGGACTGAGCCCAAGAATGAAGCTGAAGATTTCAAGGTTCCCCCAGCATACTCTCATATGATAATAAAACCAAGCACATATGATGGAAAATCATCATGGAGTGTATATAAGACCCAGTTTTCCATCGTGGCGGAAAATAACAAGTGGAACTCCCACATGAAGGCTTCGCAGTTGGCTGCGTCACTCCAAGGAGATGCTGCGGACATCTTAGTGGTCCTCTCTGAAGATGAGATTTCAAACTTCAATACCCTCTTGAATGTGCTGGAAATGAGATTCGGGGAAAAGTATGCAAAGGACGTAGCCATCTGCAGTTGAAATCCCACCAGCAGAAAATCATGGAAAGCCTTCAAGAACTTACATCTGACATCGAGAGGTTGGCGCATCAAGCATATCCAGACTGTCCACCTGATGTCCGAGAAAATCTGGCCTTAATGCATTTTGTCGATGCCGTTAAGGATGTGGAAATTCAGAAAGCTCTGAGTTTGGCAGATTTGAAAGACCTGAAATCTGCCTTGGTCTATGCTATGAAGTTCGAGTCGGCTCAACAAGCGACTCGAAGAGATCGCCATCCTGTTTGAGCACCTCAAATACAAGATCCAAATTTTGATGTCTCGAAACTAAAAAAAGAAATAAGAGAGATTCCGGAGGCGTTAAGAAGACCTAATAAAAACATTACTGGGAAGAAAATCTTCAAGTGCTCTGGAACTGTGGATTGGAAGGACATCTCAGCAGGAACTGTCACATGAATCAAAACTGGGAGTAAGCTCCCGCAAAATAAATCCAAGGAAACTAAAGTGTGGCAATCTCACGAGGCAGAGGTTGCCAGGCAAAGATGCAGCCCCTCTGAAAGTTCTTCAAATCTCTTCAGTGAGTGGCGGAGATAATAGACTGTTCGTCGAAGAATACGTGAAGAAGCATCCTTGTAAAATGATCATAGATACGGAAGCAAATGTAACCATCGTGAGAAACAGATGTAGCTTGAAAATCAAGCAAAACGTTGCACTGGACTCTGCCCTGTGTGACTTTACAAATAGTGACAGGTGATAAGATTCCCATTGAAGGTAAAATTAACATCATCATTACCTTCGGAAATTAGACCTACCAGCACTTAGCTTACGTCGCTAACATCGCAGACGAATTAATACTCGGAGTGGACTTTTTGCAGAAGTACGACTTTACGTTGGACCTTAAATGTAACGAAATGCGCTCTGCAAAAGAAGATATAACTGTGTTTGATAAATAGTAATGAAATGAAGAGCGACATTCCCTCAGCTCACCAAGTAACAACAAAAACAGATGTCAATATCCCTCCGATGACAGAATTATTAATAGCCGGCTCCATAGAAAAGAATAGCTTCAGATTTGGACTAATTGAATACCCTGAAAATAGCCCAAGAGAGGTATTAGTGGCCTTCTCATTAATAGACCTGTCGAAAAATTTCATCCCTGTGAGAGTGGCAAATGTTAGCCACAGACCCAGAAACATCCAAAAGGGTGAAGTGCTAGCAGCATGCACTCCAGTTACTTGCATTTACAAAGTCCCACTTGAAATTCAGACTGAGGCAACTAGAAAGTTAATGGAAGAACTTCTGCAGAGTGAAAATTTCACCCATGAACAAAGACGTGCGGCAGAGAAAACAATTAAAGAATTCAAAGATCTATTTTCTAGATCATCCAGAGATGTTGGCTGAACAAAACAGACACAACATCGAATTAATACGGGGGATCACTCTCCGATCGTTTACCGTTCGCAAAACAAGAAGAGGTTGGAAATCTTCTGAAAAAGATGCAAGAAATTTTGATATCATCGAACCATCCACATTCCATGGGCATCTCCTATATTTCTCGTCCGGAAGAAAGATGGCTCAACAAGATTTTGTGTTGACTACCGGAGATTAAATAAGACAGTTACCCTCTTCCCAGGACTGACGATACTCTAGACACCTTATCAGGACACAAGTGGTTTTCCACTCTGAACCTCAAGAGTGGATACTGGTAAGTGGAAATTCATCCCGATGATAGAGAGTAAACTGCGTTCACTACCGGTCAAGGACTCTGGCAGTTTAAAGTTATGCCTCTTGGACTCTGTAATGACCCTGCAACATTTGAACGCCTGATGGAAACAGTACTTTGTGGTCTATCTTACGAATCATGTGTGGTCTAACTAGACGACATCATTATAGTGGGCCGTACTTTCGAGGAATATCTAGAAAATATCAGGAAGGTGTTCCAGAAATTGAGAGATGCCAACCTTAAATTGAGTCCTTCAAAATGCAAGTTGTTCCACAGAAGTTACCTATCGAAACACGCTTTATTTACCAATATTAATCAGAACAACTTCAAAACACTTTTACAGTTGTCGAAGATCTACAATAAACACACTGGAACAATCAGCGACACAGCCTTCACACTGTCAGGCAATAACGGTGAAGACAGCTTCACTGCTAAGCACCAGAGTACCACTCCCGACTCTGCTCGGTCGTTCTCGGAACTCCACATACTCTCGAGACTCTCCATGCTACAACTCGCGATGCACTCGATGACACCCAGAGCACAGCTCCCGACTCTTCCGTTCATTTGTTCCTAAAGCTTAACACACTCTCTCGATGATGCACTAACCGCGATACACTAAGAGACTCTTCGATGCACTCGATGACCCACTCGGCATTCGCTGCCCACTGTCAACTCGATCGACTCCGCACGGACTGACTAACTCGCACTCTATGCGAGCACACACTAGCTGACTGCAGACCAGCAGGGTTTATATAGCTTTCGGCTTGTATTCGAGAACATTCTGGGCTAAACCGGTAAGAATTCGTTCCAGAAGGGTTCTCCATCCGTCCATGGTATATCGCCAATTTTGTCGTCAAATGGACAATTTCTTGCCAAATGTGGCAACCCTGCCTTCTTTTGTCATTTATGGCAGCCATAAAACTGCTTTGCGAAGGAAGCCATCTTACCGCGCTTGAACATTTCGTTACAATACATATAATTCTTTTTTAAGAAAAGAAACTATCTGATTTCATATAACTTTCTCAGCACATGCGTTTCCAGTTTTTCATGTCGTCTTCAGTTTGTATATGAAGTAGAATTCCCAGCTCCAACATATTTAACTGCTTTAATCTAACTTTAAAGAGATAACAAAATGCAGACATTTTATGACCAGTTCTGTTTTTTTTTTAGCTCGGAATAGCTCATGAGCTCGGAAGAGCTATTAATCTCAAAATGGCACTTTGCGTCGAATCACTAAAACCGTTGAATCATTTTTCAAACTGTTGCTACCGAATATCATTGCCCTATATTATATTTAAAGAAACTAAGTAATGAAGAATCTGCATGAATGTATGTATGTTTCTCACATTGTGATAAAACAACGGCACCTAGAGCCATCTAATTTTGAATAACGTAGTCCTCTACCCGAATATGGGCAACTCGAAGCCGAATTTTGAATGCACTAACTGCGATATATTACGAGACTCTTTCGGTGCACTCGAAGACCCACTCGGCCTTGCTGCCCGGCTGTAACTCGATCGACTCTGCAGGGATTGACTCACTAGACGAGACATCAACTCGATACTAACTAACTCGCACTTTAGACGAGGCACACACACTATACTCGCCTTCTCGACGAGGCTCACACTCTCCGAGACACTAACTGACTGCGGACCAGCAGGGTTTATATAGCTTCTGGCTTGTGTTCGAGAACATTCTGGGCTAAACCGGTAAGAATTCATTCCAAAAGTTCTCAATCCGTCCATGGGGTATTACCAATTATGTCGCCAAATGTTGCAATCCTGTCTTCCCTTGCCATTTTATAGCAACCCTAAAACTGCTTTGCAGAGAAGCCATCTCACCGTGCCTGTACATTTCATAACAATATTTTCTAAATAATATCGTTTTGTAAGATTTGTATGCTTGGATGTGTAAAATATATCTAAGCATAAAATAATGCATACATAGCATAATAGGTTGATGTAATTTCTTGTTCAGTTAGAAAGCTCCATTTATCAAATCCTGTAATTCCCATGTTGAGAATTCTCTCTAAATTGTCAGTTGAAACTTTTTCATTCCCATCAACCTCCCTTTTACTATCTCCACTATCGGTAGTGATATTTTTTGTATTTAGGACCATACTACAGATTTCGCTGTCCGTTAGTTGATTTATGATTGGGGCATTGCCATTGCAATGAAAAGCTTGTTATATTATCTTCACTTATTATCACTTCTTCTCAAATTCCATTAATTCACTTTTTTTAAGGGATATCTGAAAACCTTTAGATTCAGGGCTATTACATATCATAAAGCTCAGCTAGTGTCTGGTATACAGTATTGGCAGTGTGTCATTGAGACTGGAGAATAGACATGTTGTTCTACTAAATTTTTTCATCTTTCTTTCTATTGCACATTAACAAAGTAAAGAATTAATCATGTTAGTTATTTATTATAGTTACAACTACTTCCTGCACATACTTAAGGCATATCAGAATAACAAAATTCTTGCATATACTTCAGGTTTTGGCTCTGTACATTTGCAGCCTGGTACAGTCTCTGCAGGTCCGAAATTCTGCTGCCAGGCGCCTTCCTAAATTCTGAAGATTTTGTTGTCCCTTAATTTTGTTGTTTGATGCTTCTCTAAATTCTAAAAATTTTCTTTTTCTAAATTTAACTGCTAGGTGCAGCTGTAGGATCGCCACCTAGCACCAGTACTAGGTTTAACTGAATAACAGATCAGTTATTCATAATTCAAATAACACTAAATGTAATCTTTTGGCCTATGAGTATCATTTACAAAATTATTTTTTTGGCATGTGGAAGGAAATTTCTGTTAAATTTCCCTTCATCAATGTACTCAACACCTCAAGCGATTTAGCTGAAGTCTGTAACCGTTGCCAAGCATGATGTCAAAATAAAAGGTTACCATCCCCTTTGGTATTCAATTACTAATGTTAAAAGTTTTTTTTAAAAAAAGTTTTAAACATCCTATGAGTCATTTCATAAGTTGCAGTGGGTTGATAGTCATGCAGTAATGAAAGCATAAAATAATATGTAAGATTTGACAGGTTGGCTTCAAAGCCAGAGTGAAATTAAAAATCGGGACTCTCCCACGTTTTATATGAAAAAAAAAATATCAAAGGAACAAGTGCAAAGCATAATTCTTTTAAAGTTGCTTGGATTTGGAGTCCAACTTTTAGACATCCTGATTTCGGACTTTGTATTGTGCTAGGTAATTGGTAGTGAATCAAGCTATCTTAATTGCTGACAACTTTACGCTTTGTAATTCTAGCTTCCTTGATAAACTTGCAGCAAATTTTTATTTTTGGAGGGCAGGATATATGCTCTGTTTTGCAGAGGACAGGAATGAGCTAAATTACAAAAATTGTTTCCCTCCTTTTTTTTTAAGTTTAATTTTTTTTAAGCATTACCTGCACTAGACTAAACAATTAGAATTTATTTATAACTTTCTTAGCATTAAATTATTACTTAGCATTAAATTATTTCTTAGCATTAAATTATTACTTTTGAGTATTATATGTTAACTTCAAAGGTATTTTACAAGGCCTTGTAATTTATATATAACTTTTTGAGTCATTATTCACTAATGTTATATGAATAAATTAGCTCTAAATCCAGGATATAGGTTTAAAATGCGTAATTGTTTACTGTTTTATAAATTTCTTCAGGCATATGAATTTCATAGAGAATTATCTATAATCATTTTAAATAGTTTTCCATTAGAATTTAAAGTAGTTATGAAAAGTAAAATTTTAGATATTGCTTGACTATGATATATGTGTTCATAAATTTTAAACACAAATTGATAATAATAATTTCATCAAATATGAAGGATGCTGTGACCTTAGTTGGTACATGAGGTTCCAAGGTTGATCATCTTTGTCATATAATATTTAGTTGATTTGTTAAGAAAGTGTGTGCAGTGCATATGCCATGATATGCTGTGTGAATATATGGCTTAGCTTATTTCTGTGCCAGTGTTTCGTATTAATTTGTAGGCTGGGTTTATCACTCGGTATATATTTTGAAACTTCAAAAGCTTTACCCTCCATTGTAAACTGCAGATATTAGGATACAACTATATTTTTGAAAATTAATTAAAATATATTTTTGTCCGTAATATTGTTACATTTTTCTTCACGTACGTACAGGTTCGTGGATTTGGAATGAATTACGACGACACTTGGTAAAGTGTCAAAACACAATTTATTAGCCATTATTATTCAAGACAGCTCCAATAACATGTTTACAGTCGTTGAAGAATACTATAAACATGCTGAAACAATCAGGGACATAGCCTTTAGGTTATCAGGTTATAACAGAGAAGAGAGCATCACAGCAAAGCACCAGAGTACAGCTCCCGACTCTGCTTGGTCGTTCTCGGAACTCTATGTACCCTCGAGACTCTCCACACTACAACTCGTGATGCACTCGAGGATATACTAAAGTACAGCTCCCGACTCAGTTCAGTCATTCCCGGAGCTCAACACATTCTAAGGTAAAACTCGATGATGCACTAACTCACAAATACACGAATAGACTCTCTCGACGCACTCGACGACCAACTCAGTACTAGACTACGAAACACTCGTTTATTGACTATCAACTTACTTGACTGCATCTGACTATCAACTATCTCTCCGCGTACCAGCAGGGTTTATATTGCTTTTGGCTTGTGTTCGAGAACATTCTGTGCGAAAACCAGTAAGAATTCATTCCAGAAGGTTCTCCATCTGTCTATGGCATATCAGTCTATGGCAATGGTCGATTTCTCACCAAATGTGGCAACCTTAAACCTGCTTTGCGGGGAAGCTATCACACCGCGGCTGGACATTTCGTAACAATATGTATGTATGAGTAATGAAATATGTTAGAATTTCATGTTACTTACATTAAATTTTAAAAAAATAATAAAAGTTTTATGCTTCGGTTTCTTAATTAATCAATTATGTGAAATTATTTTAGGAAATAGTAGTTTCTGATTGTGAACTAGTATTTTTTTTCTTTCCAGAGTTTACGTGTCGTGTCAAAATTAATGAAAGAGTGCTGGTATCAAAATGCTGCAGCTCGTCTTACAGCACTGAGAATAAAAAAGACAATAGCAAATCTTGGTGCTCAAGAAGATCTGAAGATCTGACCAAAGAGTTTTTAGACCGTGGAATCATTTAAAACCGTTCTTTTACATGATACTCTGTTTAGCATCGCTGAACGGAATCACAGATCTGGTCTGCCAAAATATTTGCGTTAAAACCATATTCTGTTATTTCCTCTTCTCATCATATTTTTGACACTCTTTCAAGTGTACTAAACTTGAGGTTAGTGAATTTTATTGGGAGTGAAAATGGAAAAGTCAAAAACTAATGAGAGGGAAATGAACTCTCATTTGCATGAGTTTTGTGGAAGCTAACAAGAGAAAGGTACAACTTGTTTCAAAACGTGGTGCAGCTATGAAGAGCATTCATTTTTTAAGTCTGAAAGCGATATTTTGTAGCTATGAACTGATGCATATTGTGAAGATTTCATTACAGAAATAATACTTTGTCAAAAAGTTAAACTCTGGCAGATCCTACATCCTGAATGTAAGAATAACTTAATGTTTTTTGTAAGAAACAGTAGATAGGGCATTTCCTCTCCCAAGAGTGACCCCCCCTTTTTTTTAACTGGAGGAAAAATCCTTCATTTTTACTTCAGCTGTACATTGCTGAACAATGGTGCTATTCTGTGATTGTATTAGAAACAAAGGCAAATAGAAAGGGTTAATCACAAGATAAGCTTCTGTTGTGAAGTTAAAAGCAGTGAAACAATTTTCTGTGTTTTTAAAAAATATTTATAAAAAAAAACTGCACCTAATCACATAAAATCAATTAAATGACGACTTGATTATATGGATAGAAGAAAATATATTATTTCAGTTTTCTTTGGTATGTATATTTTTATTTGAAGAAAATTTTTATGTGGTTTGTAAATAGTAATATAAATTCCTATAATTTGATTTTGTGATTAATGCATGCTTTTCATTAGAAAAGCTAGTTCCTTTAGCTGTTATAAACTCTCTTTGTTTCTGAATTGAGATTTTTTTAATAGAAATGTTTTTATTATTTAAAAAAAAAGTCTTATTTTTTGGCTGTTATTGAATTTTTAGTCCGTTCTAAATGAAAATTTTGAAAAGTTAATAAATCAAATAATTGAGAAGTTTGAAATTAAAATAAACATTTAGTAAATTAGAAACCGGAATGAACACTGATCCTAAAATAATTTTTTGTGTATAAGATGAATCTTTTAAATATGAAGATAGTGTAAATATGCTGTGCCAGACATCTCTATCAGCCATTGCATTTGCTTTTCTCAAAAAACATATAAAGTCATCCTTATTCATTGATTATCTGAGTATGCATTATTGTTTCATGTGTTTTGTGTATTTGTAAACAATATGAATGATTATTTTTGCTCTGTATAATGCTTAAAACTTTGCCAAAGATTTCTGTGGATGTGACCTGCAAGACTTTTAGAAATTGTATTTAGCTATGTATGTGTTTTTGAAAATATATTGAGTAAAAAGAAAGCTTTTGAAAAGAATTTACCCATAAAAAATTGTTTGCATAGAAAAAATTCAAGGCAATGTAGCAGTTACTTTCAAAAATGGGTTTCATTGAAACAAAAGTATTTAGCACGTGAAATCTTTTAGATCTCGGAATATGCTGCAATTGATCTTAAATAAAAAAAATTAAAAAATTGTGCGAGCTTACGTATCTGTCTGTGCATGTGTGAAAGCTTTCAGAATTTTCTAAGCATATTATCCATTTTATTTAACACTTGTTTGTTAAAGTCCAAAAGAGAAAGCTTCCAAAAGAAGTAGCTTCATTACATATTCATGCATAATTGGATGTAGAACTAGACACGGTAACACAGTGCTTTTAATTGTTATGTGGCCAAGCCTGCTAATGACTTCAAACTTCTAACTAAAATTATGATCATTCTTTGACAAATAGCAGGCTAGATTTTCTATTTTTCCTGCAAAGGAGTGTTTCTCATTATAAGTAGCATGTGAATTATTTCTGCATATTAAAATGAAGAGCTATTTTTATTAAGATTTGAAATCCATCAATATTTTTATAACTTTCAGTTACTACTCAAGTGAGGAATTTCAATTTGTTTCTTTACTTGTGGATGGGAAACTATTTCGCATGTCTTCGTGAATTTCATAAAATTTATAGTATTTATTTCAAATATTTAAAATCATTTAATGTAGTCTGTGAAAAAACAGTTGTTTTTCAAACTGACATTTTATAGGAGCTTACAGACGATTATCTACAAAACTATTGCTTGCAACTTTAGCTGTTTATAATTTTGATCAATAAAATATGACATTATGAATACCTAAAATCATAATGTGTATGTTTCTTCTTTCATTTATGTTGTCAAGGTAATGCAGTACTTTTTAATACTAATAATGCAATGTTTCACATTTCGATAACAACAGTAAATGATTTCTGAAATATTTCATTTTAAATAAACAAGTTAATTAGAAATCACCCAAGTGTGATCGGTGCTGAAAATATCACTTTTTCGCAAATTATGAATGTGTTATTGCTGCTGTGGTTTTTACAGTCCTTGGCTTTTATGCATAAAATATATAAAAAAAAAAAAGTTGAAAATAATGCATGGTAATGTTAAATGAATTTATATTAAAATAATAATAAGTAATTTAAAAAGAATTAATGAAAAGAAGTATGCTGAGGTTAAGATATAGAATTTTGATTTCTAAAGGCTAAAATTTTGTGAAGATTTAGCAGATATTCTTAAAGATTTCTTTTTAATATGATCTGTTCACTTATATATTCTTTAAATTAGTTGCTTGAAAGCAACATTTTGCTTTTATTGTGCAATTCACAGAGTTCTTGTATTAAAAAATTTGGAAATTGGGTAAAAAAGATGTGCTGTATACCAAACAGTATTGTATAAAATAAGTGCACAAAAAATTCACCATTCTTACATAATTTTATTCAAAAGCATATTCTGAGACTAAAACGAAATCAAATTAAATTGGAACCCATCTTTTTTTTTACTTCTAATGGTGTGTGATATAAATCTCATTCTGATTTTCTGCAGTGCCGGGATAACAGTAAATCAGATTCGTATGTTAGTATTTTGCACAATTGTTGATGCTGTGTAGATTATTGAAATGAGACGTATTTATGGAGGTGCAAGAATTAATTAGTTTTTTTTTTTTTTAGTGTACTGAAATGTAGTTTACTGTTCTTGAAATAATGTAATAATGCTTGTGTTTGGCAAATCTCTTCTATTTCTGAATGCTAAATATTATATATCATAATTATGTTAGTTTTTATATAAATTTTAAAAGAATGAAGTGTATTTTTATGTACATTTTGCTTTGAATTTGTATGAAGTATATGTAGAAGTATGCTTTGCTAGTAAGTAACTTTTGCTTTCAAATTTGCCATAGTCGTTTTAATTTTTACTAGTCATTGTCATTAGAAATTGTAATGTGATAAATGAGATTTAGTTATTTGGGTTCACATATTACTTGCAGAACATGTTCTTATTGCTTAAAATAATCTTTATGTAATATAAATTATTCAGTGTTTAAAATCATATCCCCCGATTTAAGATTCAAGTACATCAATAAAAAAATTAGTACGAGATAAAAAGAAATTATTCAAAAGCAAGGTAAATTATTCAAAATAAAATTAATTACTTATTGTTTTTGCTTTTTAAATAACTGTCATGTATCTTCTGGAAGCTGTGTACTTCCAAATTTATGTTAGAGAAAGCAGTTAAAATTACTTTTAGCTGTCTCATAGATTCTCCACCTATTAACACACTTTTATTACCAATTACTTTTATTTCATTTATACTGGTATTACGTTTTTTTAATGAGCATAATAAAAATGGTAATCCTGAGGTAGCTAGGTTGACAGACATCAGATTCAGAGCTTAATTTCTAAAAGTATAAGTGCCGGAGCACCAGATGCGTAGCTAGAGCACCCGTGGACAACTTAAGATTTTGTGCCCCTTTCTGTGTGCAAAGAAAACATTTCATTCAAAAATTTAGTAACATGTGTTTGGCGCCCCCTGATTGTTTTGCCCAGGGACAGATGTCCCCTCTTGCCTCACCCTAACTATGCCACTGCAGAGCCCTATGGAAGACTGTCAGGAAAGAGAAACAAGAGTAAATAAATAAATAAAATGATTAATAAAAAGCATTAATAATTCTAAGATTAAATAAGTACTGATTATCAAGGTAATTAAAAATTAATTAGTTTATATTAATAATTAATATTTATTAATTATTATTTAATTTACTATTATTTATTTAAATAATTAAAGTAATTAAATCATTAAAATTAAATAAAATGTAAAGAGATGAATTAAAATTTAATAAACAATTTTTAATATAATTTTATTGCTAAAAATAATATTTTCAAAATCAAATGTCTACTAAAATGTTGTTCAGTTACATAAAACAAATGGCGGAGGCTTCTTCATAAAAGAATGGTGGGCTCCAGTGCATTCCGGCTAGAATTAGAATTTATCCCCAAAACTAAGAAGTATCAGATCCAGGTTCCAGTGCTATTGAAGCTCTGATTGCATTGATAAAATTCATTAAAAATGATATTGTAAAAATAAAATGTACATTTAAATCTACTGTGAAAATGCAAAATTTTAATGACAGGTATTTAAGTTTATTATCATTATTTGTTTATTACTCTAAGCATCAAATTCAGTGCCAGAATTCAAGTGCAGCATAGATATTGTTAATTATTTTAACTAGTTCTTTCTTTTCTTATTATTGTATTTAATATTTGTTTTCATATTAGTCTTTTTTGAATAACTGCAATTTAAATAATGTTAAGAAAATAATATCATTATTTTATCTGAAAAAAGAATGAATATTCATTTGAAATGTAGAATTTTCCATAGTCTTAAAAAACTGTATTTGTTTTATATTTGGGCATTAATGCAACTGAAATTTTGAAACTTATACTCTGGGTATAGATTTTTATCATCTCATTTTATATGTGCAATAATTTCCTATCTGTGTACTATAGGTTGAGAATCTCTGTCCATTTCACTAGTAGGAAAATTACTAATTATCATTAATTTATAAAGTTAAAGACATACTTCAAAATTGCTATCGTATGTAAATAGTATATCATTTATTTATTAGCCTAATTATATAATATTGTTATAAACTAATATGTATTGCGTGTAAATTTATGCTACTCATTTTTTCCATCTTTAAAAAAGAAAATAGTGAAAAAGCTTTCATTCATGTATTCAAAGGTTACATTATGGTATTGCAAATAATGTGTCAACTGTCTAGGACACTGTTATCTTCCTATTTCAGTAGAAAACTGTTATTCAAATTTCTATCCTACATTTAATTCTGTGCCTAGTGCTGTTTTCCTAAATGTTGTGGAAAGTCAACTTGATGCTTGTGATACAAATGTAGTTGTGACTTCATTCTTGAAGGCGTAGTCAAGTTATTTTCTTATAATATTTATGCTTGATATGATGAATAAAGAATGTGATAGTTGTATCAATGCTGGTAACTAAACAGCATTTGTGATGATGTATAGTACAGTGTTAGTCTGAAGTATCGAAAATATTTTTTTCACTACCGATAAATGCTGTATTTTAAATATTATGCTTCATATTATTCTTTCTTTAGTAGAAGGAAGAATAGTTTTCTTTACAATATTCTTTTCTATGTAAAAGCTCTAGAAATTTTCTTGTGCTGAACATTTGTCAAATAAAGTAAAAGAAAAATATATCACATTAAAATGTAGGAATTTAAAACGCACAAAATATATTCTACATAATTGCTGTTCTGAATGTTGTAGCTTAAATTTAAAAAAAAAAAATTAATTCTTTTTACAATAAATGCTGCATGTTTAAAATAATCTTTTCTATATGTTTTAATGATTGATTAAATACATATTTTATCAATTTTTTGTAGTTTGCTAAATAGTGCAAAAGCTTATATGCTATAATTCAGTAATCATAATAATTGCTCTGGGTTATAAAAATTTGGCTAGTATGAAATTTGAGTGCTCTGTTTTCTAAAGTGGCAATTATGTCATTTTTTGTTTAAATCCAATTGCTACCAGGCTTTTGATATTTCTGTCTCCTTTAAATATTCTATTGTAAACTGTTGAGTTGAAAAACTTCAGTAATTGTGAAAGAATGAATATTTTGTTAAATTGTATTGAGATTTTTAATGTAAAGGTTGGTCTATTATAAAAACTCTTAATTTTAAATGAAGAAAATAACTTTATTGTTTATTTGCAGTTGGATTTTTACTGATTGTTGTTCTGTAATAACATAAATAATATTAAATTTTTTGTAAATGCATAGCTAATTTTCAAGATATATATGCACGTATGATAATTTAAAACTGCAGAGTCTGCTTTTTGATGCATATCTAAAGCTCAAATTTAATGCCTTTAAAATGATACCATGTGATCATATTTAGTGGCTGCTTCTGAAATTTTTACTGTCAATAATAAAAATGTAGTCCAGGAGGAGTCAAGTGCATGAATAGAGTAGTAGACTTATAAAATAGAGAATTAAGTATGTGATAAAAGTAGGCAATAAAATGTGGAATTAAGTGTGATAACATAGGCAAGTAAAATAAAGAATTCGATATGTGATAAAATGGGCTAATACAAGAAGGAATTGAATATGTGATAAAGTTGCCTAATAAAATGAGAAATTAAGTATGTGATAAAGTAATCTAGTGAAACTGGCTTGGCTGGAGGATTGTTATTTATTATAAAATGTAACTATCGCATTTGAAATGGCCATTTAAACAATTTTGATATGTGTAATTTTTTTATTTATTTTTGGAATGAAGATACATATCAGACTATGATGTAAAAAAAAAAAAAAGATTTGGAACGTGTTTATTTTCTGAAGTACATGTAAGCTAAAACTGCTACTACATTGTAAAAGGCATAGATACCGAAAGAAAGGGTAAACAAAATTTGTGCTATGATTTATTATTTCTTGTTAAACTGTATTACCTTATAACTACACTCATACAATTTCTTTTCAGTCTTAGCTGTGACGCTAGTAGTCACAAAACATGGATCCGAGTATGTACCTTATGCTAAAGACTCAGTTTTTAAAGTACAAACCTTCAAACTGAAAGTACAAATAATTATGATTTATTTTTCCTAAGGCATTTTCCTGTTATTTAATCAAATGTAGAATCCCCTTCTGTCAAGTTTCAATAGGAATAATTTCATTTTTCTTTTAAAAGGCTTCTAATAAAAAGTTTTATCAAATGTCTGCATTAACATAACATTCTAGGATATGAAATTGAAATATGTGTGTAAAGAAGCTGGGGAAAGAAGAGAAATTTATTAACATTATATAGACTACATACATTTTAATCTTTTGACTTTAGATCACAATGGTGTGTACTGAAAACCAAATGCAAGATGTATGTTACAAAAGATAAAGATAAAATTTTGCAAAATATTTTTGCTTGTATAATTTTAGTAATTGTCTTAACTTAGTTTGTATCCTAAATGCCCTAATTATTCTTCCTGTATCTTAAAGCAAGTATATTAAAACATAAGTGTCTAATTTTAGTAAAATGATTATTTAAAAACTAAATTGTAATAATTTACTGAAAACTCAAAAGTAAATCTAAGACATATGTAGTTTAATATTTAATATTTCTTTAAATCATATTTGCTTGCAAATCTAAAAATTTATATTTACTATTAGCTGTAAAAACAAACTCGCCAAATTACTCTTCTATTTCCAGCTTTCTATAGGCACATTTGGCTTTAGATTATTAAAATGAATCCTAATTAAAAAAATCTTTTATTGAAGTAACAAAAGAATATTCTGCATAAAACAATTCTGTAACAGATCATAGGATAATATTTAACTAAATCTTTCATAGTAAGTTCAAAGTAGTTTTAAGATTACAAGTTTTCTTTCGGTATCCAGAGATAACTTCAGTTTTTGCTGCAAGTGTTTAACTGAAAAATGAATTTCACTGCCAAATTACACCTGCTTCTGATGTTAGATGGTATATTTTTTGTTTCACACTGTGTAGTAATGTATACATTCTCATCTTGCAAATTCTGTAAATGTCACATTTTGTGTATGTGTATGTAAACTGTGTTTTTCAAACTTAAAATCATTTATAATGTATTGGTAAATTTTATTATGAATAACAGTAAAAGTTTAAATTATCACTTTTTATTAGAAACAAACATCATATAAGTTACGAGAATAGATTTTGGCAAATATTCATGAAATCAATATATTTCAGTTAAAAACATTGAATTAGGAAGTGAAAATGGATGTCCAAACATACACTGGAAATTTGCAGGTTTTTTTTTGGGGGGGGATGCTTCCACAGAAGCATCCTCATGAACTAATATTTAACAAACTTTTTAGACTCGCTACCCATGTGCATTTAGTTGCAATTTATCATGACTTCTTCTGTGTAATTATTTTATTAAAAAAACGGTTTAGAAAAAAAGATTCCCAGTGGAAACAAATGTGATAATGTAATAATGATAAATATATTGCATGCTTATTAAAAGACAATACCCACTTCTATGCATGTGAACAAATTAAACTTTTTAAACAAAATTCAGAAAAACAAAGAATATAAACTGTTTGAAGCAAAATGGTTATGTGTATATACTATTAAATTATTTTTAAAGAAATATTTTCAGAAATTTCACCATTCAACTATGTATATTTTTCTGCAAAATTAAAACATTTGATCTGGAAAATTGCATAATACAAGGTAAATTTTCAGGGAGGATTACATAAATGTATTTACAGCTTTCCAATGCCTGTCAGATTAGAGATATTTTTTCTTATGGAATCACACTCACCAAAATTTTATTAAATTATTTTGACAGTGGTTAAGTGAAGAATCTATCTTTAACTTGCATAATACTCGAAACAACAGTATTTCAAGCCATTTAATCAGGAAGTATCATGCTTACCCAATTTGTCAAAAAAAAAAAAACACATTATTTAGTAATTATAAATTTGCTAAGAGTTGCAAAAAATATGTATTTATTTAACAAGAAAAAGTGCTTGAAAACTTTTTTGTCATTAAACAAAATTTCTTCACCTACTAGTAGTTTGTGACCCTTCTTTTGAAGCTACTAATAAACTGATAAGATTTTGAAGCGCTTGTCTTGCTGTCAACGTTTTGAAAATATATAAATAATAAACAAAATCTGAAAATTTTTTCTTTTAATTTTCACAGCAACAATATTTATTTTATTTCATTGTATAGTTTTACTAATGTCATGTCTTGCTGGCACCCTAATTTATATATAAATAATATTTAAATTCCTCTTCCTTCCTTTTTTCAAATTTTCTAATTAAAAACAAATTTGCCAATACTGATGTGTAAATGAATTAAGGTTTGAAAATCATAGATTAAATATCATTAAGTTTAATTGTAGAAAAATACAGCTTTTGTTTTGTACTAACTTTGCAAATAAAACTTGAGTTTTATCTCTATGGCTGCCAAATTGATGGCTCATTTTTGCTTGAAGCATTTTTAATAAAATATAAATTGTCTTTATTTGTATTTCTTCGATATTTTAAATGCAAATTCAAATAACTGATGTTCAAAACACTGTAAAGATAACTTTGATACATACTGTTGTGAGCAATGGGATCATTGTTATTTATCAATGTTCACAGAATGCAGTATTAAGAGATATTTTACTAGTACACTGAATGGGATAATTCAGTTCCAGAAGGAAAAGAACAGTTATTTGTTGCAGCTAAGCTTGGTTCTCTGACGTAATCAGAACAGGCCCATGAATTTTATCATTGCAAGGAGTACAAGACTATCTGTCGCTGAGCACCATATAGGTGACTGTGCTTAGTTCCAACTCAATTTGGAAGGACTGTGCCCTAGGGAATGGGTCCCAGGGTCTCCCACCCCTCTTTGCACCAAACCACTCAAAAGGGCTTTTAGCTCACTGCATATTTTTTAATGCCCCCAGGCAGCAGACACTATACATTTACAAATATCTACACCCATCTTAAGGATTTGAACTTGGGCCCATTATTAGTCATTAGTGTCACTAACCACTATCTCCATCTGGGGCGGAAAGAACAGTTGAGACATTGATTCAAAATTTATCAGGAGGGGGGAGGGAAAGGTGTTCACACAGCAAACTAAAGAGCAAGATGCTAGTATAAAATCAAGTTTTATTACCACAAAAAGAAACAAACTCTTCTGACAGAAATTATTTTAAAGAATGCAAGACTGAAGTTTGGGAAATTATATATCCTGATACTAAACACAAGTGTGAGAATATGTGTTTATCTCAGAGGACCAATCTGAAAAGAGCTGAATGTATCGGAAATAATCAATATACATGATAAACTGACAGCTGTTGATGAAATGAAAAATAGGCATTGCAGAGTTATTAATTTTTATACGTAGATATGCCTCTCAAAGTGAAATTATTGGAGAATACCTGTCAATGTAATTTCTTAAAGACCAAAGAACAGGAGTTAATATATATGAAAAAGCTTAAAACCATGCAACAAGAAATAAGTTACCATAGAACAGAAATGATAAGTAAGCAACATCAGATGAAGCATCAAGCTGACTAAGCTAAAGAAAAATGTTCGCATAGAAAATTCAGGATAAAATTTGCAAAATTTCCCTGATAACAATTTTAAGTATTATTTATTATGTAAAACTGTTGAAAGTTCATTAAACAGTAAATATATACAATATATGCACACAATACATCATGTCTTGTATTGTTAAATTTAAAAATCTAATATAATTGATGGGCTTTGAGTACAGACAATTCATAGATATTGAATGAGTATAGAGATCTTTATTATCGTAACTGAATTTTATGGTTTAGGCAAGACTCTTCAGTAAGCATGGAATTTAAGGGATATCATTGAATTTAAAGAAATGAAAATACTTTCCTGAATTAACTGATAATTATTACATTTATGATTTTGATTTTACCCTAGATAGTGTGATCTACTTAAATGTTACACTGCAAGATAAAAACTTATATACTCATGATAGTGTAAAAAGGTTTGAATGAATTTTAGTTGTTCCAACAGCACTATTTGAAAAATAAGGTTGACCACTTTTTAACTATGAAGTTAGTTACTATGGCCACCAGAAAGGAAATTTCAAGAATATTGTGAAATTACCAATGTATTTAATAACTTGAGGCAAAATTTGGCAATAGTTTGTGATCTAATAAAACTTGATAATGCACCAAATGAACTACAACCTGATATTATAGATCTGGACAAAGCTATTTATTTATGAGAACTGCATAGTCATGAAGAGCTTTGTAGCAACAAACATTTCAAAAGAACTCTTAAATTCACTTAAGTTTTGGTTTATAATGCACGATTCAGGTTAAATATTTATGTGATTCCGATATAAAATACATTAGTATTTATTTAGGTATTCTAAATTCTGTGTTCTTTATCTAACTTCATTTTGCAATTTTGTTTAACTTTACACTGAGAAAATTCTGAGTAGGGAAAGAAAATTTTATTTATCAATGGACTTTTGAATAAAATTAAAATTAATAATAATTGTGCATACTGCTTGGTAGATAAATTTAATGTGTAAAATAATTTAAAACAAATATTAGCAGATTAAACATTGGTTGAATCTTCATCAGATGATCTACAGATGTCTACAGTAGATTACAACTGTTAACATCAAATAAAATTCAATAAGAAAAATATGGTAAAAATTTGTAGAGGAAGGAGAATGAAATTTATAATACTCTTCATCCAATAAATTTCATTTATTGCTGAAAAACACTTTTCAGCAAATTACCCTTAGCGCTCCACACGTTTTTGTACCACTGCCTACCAGCAACTCCGGCACATTTTCGCAGTGGAATGCAGCATCTAGAACATCTGCATAAATCTCTTTCTTGTAAATATTTTATCAAAGAAAAAGATGTGACTATTCTCCTTAACTGACCAATAATCCTGCATATTCGCCAAGGGTATAGTACCCATATTGATAATAACTCCAATAAAAGCCCCAAACTCCTCCTCTTCCACCACACGCCACGTTTTCCAAACAGAATTACTAAATATTTCTTTATTCTTTAGAACATTTTCTGCGCAATTGTTTTCTTTTTTTTTTTAATTATTTTTTTTAATTTTATTTACCTGTTCGTTTGTGAAAAATAATTTGAAATATTGTGTCACTGTCAATATTTGTAGGAATTGTGGTCCAATGACCTTTGGCGATACACTAAAATATATTCTATCCAGAATATCTAATTCTTCCGTAACATCGCGCCATTCATCTAAGTCTTCCAGAGACTTCTCACTTTCAATAACTACCATTCATCGTCTCTTTGGTAGTATAATTCGGAACCACTACTTGAGTGTCAGGCTTATAATCAACATTGTCTTCCACAATATCTTCTAACAATGAAAAATCAAACACAATCTTCACTATCACTCAACTCTATATTCTCATCACAATAATTATTTTTCTCCATGTTGCTAACCATAAAATGGGTCAAATAATGTTTCAATCGTAACAGTAGTGAGACTGAACATGTTTTAACTAATAACAATTGCCAACGCCAACGATTCCGTAAAATCTTAAGCCCAATCATGCTGAAAACATTGGGCTCCGCAGTGGAGCCTACGGAGTTACGGAACAAATGACGGACGGCTCCGTAGCGGAGCCAATGGAGCGCTAAGGGTTAAAAAACTTCGGCGATTCAGTGATCCATGGGAAGATGACGAAAAACCGGTAATCTCCTGGTAAAAACCAGGAAAGTTGGCAACTATGCATTCATCTCATTAAATTGTTGGTTCTTAAGAATATATTTTTACATCAGAATTCATTTTCCATGATAATATCAATTTATACTTGAAAGTACTATATCATTTACAGCCTGCCACACTTTTTTCTTTTTAATTCCTAATATGGCCCTTTACCTAAAAAGATTGCTGAAGCTGGTGATAGACATATAAGAATATCTTTAAGCTAATTTCCATAAATGCACAAGATAAAAAATTCTTTGTCCACTATTACATTGTCATTCTTCATTTAATTGAATTCCCTTTCATTCACTTTACATTCTCATTACATTCACTTTCCACTGAATTTCGGCCACTTCTTCAGTACCAGACCTTTACTCAACCCTGCCACTTTAGGCTTAGCAGTTCAGTACACAAATATCCAGTGGTACACATTACTTCCGTACAAATTTTGTAAAACTCATTAAAAAAATAGGAAAACATGCGAATCAAAAGCACAAGTTATAAACATGAACTAGCTGCTGCTTCTGCAGAGTATTTAAGAAAGGATTACTACGTAAAAGGTTTTATATAGGAAACTGGTTTGTATTGCATTAAAATTGAAAAAAAATTATAAGATATTCTATGCAGTAAAACTATTTTGTGGACACACTGAACTTTAGATGAAAGTGTGTTTTGTTTCATTATGCATGTGTGTGAATGTTAAGATTTTATTTACATTATTATTGCAGTAATATAAAGGTTTGAATACACATCTTTTTCAACACTAGTCATTAAAATAAAACTGAACAAATTTTAAAGATGTATGCAAATGAAGCACTGGCTGCAGTCTGACGATCTAAAATAATAGTTTTTGTAAAAACATCAGTACTATATTTATAATTTAAGTATACTTTAGAAATATCTTTTTTAGAGATCCTATCTAGAGATTAGATGTTTAAAAAAGATTACATATACACAAAAGAGGAAATATATATCAAAATTTATTGATCAACAGTAAAGACCTGCTTTACAATTAATGCTTGGGAAAATTTCAAATAACAGCATTTTTATTACATATGTAACATTCATAAAATTTATGCACCAAAATACATCAGAAGTACAAAAATATATTTCAGAAACATTAATTCCTATAAAATGCAATTCATGCAGTTATACAATTTAACATCCTTTCCAGCACTTGCGTTTTCATGCAGCTTTTTTTTTTTTTTTTCCCCAATTTCACATATTTTATTACTTCTTAAAGAATGTTCTTTAAAATAATTTAATTTCTTATAAAAACTTCCAATATCAAATATATGGAATGTTATAAAAACATAAAACCTCTACTCAAAAATCAAAACATTTGTTGAAACTTAAAAAGCTAGCACCTTTTTTTTTTTTTTTTTTTTTTAAGAATTAAAACTCTGAGTTACCAATATCTCTCCCCTTTCCTTAGTAGGGAAAAAAAAAAAAAAAATTCAAAAGCATATTGAAAATTTGAAGACTTAAATCCATCACTCTATAAAATAAATTTATTTACAAAACAAAAAATGTCATTAAAATTTATAAACACCAATATTAAAAGTATAACAACTTTGGCTTGTTTTACTTATATTAAAATCCCTTTAACTTTCAGAAGATAATTTCAATATAATACTTCTTTCCACCTTCACAGTTTTTTTAGGCAGGAGGGATTAAGAATAATTTTAATCACTTTACCCTATTTGCATAATTTATCATGCATTCATGCACATTTTGTATGTTTTATGGCAAGAACTGAAAAACAAGTCCGACTATAAGAAATAAAGTTTATAAAAAATATCAATCTTTAAAGGAAAAAAAATATAGCACTATCTACAAGTTTTACATACATGTATTTTAGAAGTTGAGATTTTTTATGGGAACTGAACTATAATATTCCACAATTCATGTGATCTTCAGCTGAACACTGTGCCTTTGTACTTTGATTCTTAATATAAAATACATTTTAAAACAGAATCTTGAAATGAAAATTGCATAAAAGCAGTTGCACCAAGTGTGCCTTCATAAAATTCTGTTTCAGACTAACAATTCAGACTAACCGAAAATGAACCAGCTGTACATATCCTAGTGCAAAATAAGATTTTATTATGCAGCTTTATGTATGCATTAATCTTTAAAAGAGAAAATAATGAATTTCAATGATAAATATGAATCTTTAATAAAATGAAAAGTAAATCTGATGTAAAATGTATAAATAGAAAACTGGTAAGTATATAAAAAAAATGTCACTAAGCCAATTAGAGTAAATGATCTAAATATCACATATCAAACACTTTGACAGACAGAACCATTATTTCTTAGGAAATTTAATAATTTATTTAATATAAAATTTAAAATATTTAATATAAAAATTTTGTCCACCATCCACAATAAACACTAAATATTACAATGATTCCAGCATGTGCTCAAATTATAATTCATCGTGCTTTGGTCCACTAAATTCATCATGAGATATAAAACCATTTCTGTCCTTATCCTCATGCTGGAATATATCTTCTACCAGTTTATCTTGCTCTGGCATATCTTTGATACCTGCTGCTTCAGCCTGGGGCAGCTGCTTCTTTAAATACTCACTGATCTGAAAAATATTAATCATTCCATTTTACAGCCTCTTTTTTTTTTTTTCTTTCCAATTTTATTTTTTAAATATACAAAAATATATAAAATAGTCTGGCTATAAATAAGGTATAAGAAAGCTATTCCATATATAATAAAGAGAAATATCCTGCTTCATTATTTTCAACCCAATTATAGTAAATTTTTATTTAATAATCAGCTACTAAGTTTTTAATCTATGTTGCATCTAAACTATGGATTAAATACTACTTATTTTTTATAAAGGGATCAAGCCCATCCTGCTCTTTAATTGCTACGGTCTGGTAACATCTCATGGAAAGGAGAATGATAATTAATTGTAAAACTCATATCTGGTAATATTTCAGAATATAATCTTAAAAATCCCAAGTCTACTTCACAGATTCCCACCAGAATTCTGGAATTATGCAGCATGCAAATGAAACATGTATTCTGGAATGATGGGTAATCATGCAGCATATAATCTACCACTTTTAGTTAGTTATTTTTTAGATTATGACACCAAAATTGGTTGTTTTAATCATTTCTTTTTCCCCAACATTTTATTAAACATTCGGACTTAAAAACAAGTGTTTTAATGGCACCATCTAGGAAATAAATAATTAACTAAAAGTGGTAGATTGTATATTACATTATTACCCTGAAATGTATTAGTAGAAGATAAAGCTTATTATCAGAACCGAGTTTTTGTTAGAGACTTGATTATGAACCCTCCCTATTAATCAGTTGATAAGTAGGGCTAAGACCTCCAATGTATAGACATACTTCAGTGCATTATGGGCAGGTGGTATTGAAAAGAATTACAATATAGTTCATTTTTCCCATGCATGTGAAAATACATGTTGTTTTCATGTTTATTTGTCGCCAATGTAACATACTCACTTAAGTTGTGCGAGTTATTTCTGACACTACCTCATGATGCGACCTTGGGACAGAATAAAGGTTGCAAGGATGGAAACTCAAGACCAAAGCAAAATCTACTCATTAAAAAAAGTGTATTCAAAGCTCTGCAGCCAGTATTTAGATCTTCCTTCATACCAGCACAGACTAGTGGCTAAAACAGCACCTCAATTACATTTTTACAAATAAACTTAATAAAAAAATCTGAAACAAGCAATCCAGGAGTTTAAATATGTAGCACATTTTATGAAAAAGATTTTTTCATATCAATTTAGATAACCAGAACAGAAAAATCAAATTCAGACATAATCATATAAAGACAAAATTCTGCAGTTAAATTACAATTGCATTCCTATTTGTTTCATGAAAACAAATGTAAAAACATATGCAGTGATTAAAAGTTATATAAATTATGTCAGAAACTATGCTTAGTATGGTGAATCTCAAAAAAAAAAAAAAAAAAAAAAAAAAAAAAACAGTTCTAGGAGAAGTCCTACTTAGTGTCTTATTTTGCAAACACTTCTTTCCCCTCAGCTTTTTTTTTTTTTTTTTTTTTTAATTTTTTTAAGCAATAAACACTGGCTGCACATCAGATATTTTATTAGAAGCATACATTCTGTAATTTGCTCAGCATTTAGTACTAGCCATATCTTAAAAAAACACACAAAGAATAAGAATGGAGATATCAATTCATGAACTTTACGCAAATATACGAAATTTAGTGGACAACCAACACTATTGGCCAAATCTGATTTGAATTCCAAATACTAGACAAAATGAATAACCGATAGTTAAACAGTGAAAGAGTAGAACATGATTTTAAACAGATGCAACAAACACACACTCATGTTATCACGAATGAGCAGATTTTGCTACATTTATGCTGCCTGTGGAAATTGCAGGATAAGCAAAGGGTTTATCATAACCAGCTGTTTCACTCAGATTAAAAAAGATCAAGTGTTTTTGCTGCAATTGGTCATCTCTCTTTTTATTATATTAATCTGGCATTAATTTGAAAATTAGGACCACAAGTAAATTGCCCCAAAGGTGATGACAGAACAAGATATAACTAGCAATGAAATTCTGCTTAGGTTACATGTAACAATAATGCTGCATAGTGTAGACACCATCTTAAATATATAACTCTTCCACTTTCTTCACTTTACATTATACTTTAAAAGTATAAATTTAAAAAATATTTTACCATGGTTAGAAAAAATTCTTTTAAATATTACAGAATTTTTCAACATAGTTCTAAAACTTCCCACTCAATTCTTATTAAATTTTATTTTCAGCACTTCTAGAAATTTATCTTATGATATCTTTTATTTCATCATTATAGTATAACCAGTATCATAATGATCTACACATGCTTTTAAATAGTAAATCTGTAACAAAAACAAAAGTTTCACACTATCACAAATATTGTCTGCGCAAACAGTTAGCGTTGGCAGGTTTAACAATATTTTGTCAAATGATTTTTGGCATTTACATGAAAGAGACTTGCTTTAGAACATTGTGTTATGAAATTTGTAAAACAAATATCATTATCATTAAGTACAAAGTGTCCGAAATGGAACTATCACCCTACCTGAAAAGAACTATCATCCTACCTGACTAGAACCATAATTTACTTCCAGTTCTGCTGTAAAAAGTCAGCTACAGAATGTCACCAAATTATGTGTACAGCTTAAGGTCCTAAATTTGTATCGTATAACACTGTGAAACTTTGGTACCAAAAGTTCAAAAACAAGTAGTGCGATATTCAAGAAGCAGAGCACTCTGGCCATCTTATGGATGTTGATGAAGCCCACCTGCGAGAACTTGTGGAAGAAGATCAGTATGCAACCACTCTAGAGCTTGCTAAGGAGTTAGGAGGCACTTACTTTAGTGCCATGTCCATTAGTCACGCTATGCATCCCATAAACTTGACATAAAAAGTTCAATCACTGGGTGCCGCATGAGCTGACTCGAGAAGATAAGGACAGACATGTTCAGGCCTGCACTAATCTGCTTGAATATCAAAGCAAGGACAAAATTCTGGACTGGATCATCACTGGTGATGAAAAGTGGATTTATCAAGAACACACGTTGAAAAGGAGTTGGTCTGCACCTGATGAGGTTGTCGGCAGCGTGGCAAAGTGCACTTTGACTAACAAAAATATTCTCTGTATCTGGCGAGATTTGTATCTCTCACTGCTGCTGAATGCATATTTTACTTTCTCACTTTCCCTTGCTCTGTTAATATGTTGCGGTTAGTTGTCATCTATTGTCCACTGTTCGAAAACAAAAGCTTCCAAAAATTGGAAGGTGCACTTATTACAATATGTGAACCTGATTATGTATCTCACGGCTAACTTTATCAAGAAATACAATTCTGTGATACATCTATAGCCACATTTATCTGAAAGTCTCTTCTTTGTCATGCACCATTCAAACTATGTAGCAAAGCAACTGTCCAAATCCATTCCACCTACTGCCCAATCATCATATGTGTGTGTGTATTTAATTATGGCAAAGCACACTAGGGCTATCTGCCAAAGGGGAGGAATGCCTTCGTGGAGGACTTTCTAAGGGAAACTGGCTCGTACACACGTTACACATAGAGAAAACCACGAAAACACCCATGCAGCCAGCCCGTTCGCGGGATTCGAACCTCGGACCGAACTACCAGTGTTCAGTTCAGCGACTTTACCGCTCGGCCGCTGGTCGGCGCCCAATCATCATAATATTTACAGATTATATTACATATACGTATATTTATCATATACTTATTTGGGGGGGGACCAAATGAATACATAATAAACAAGAGAAACATTCCTGAGTAAACAAAAATCAAAAACAACTTGAAAGTGCAACATGAAAAAAACAAGATAATTGAAAAATTACATGGTTAATTTATTTCATCGAGAAAACATCCGAAATTTTTTTACCCAATTTAATACACTATATTTGTAAATGCTTTCATACATAATTACCTCTTCTCGTGACAGCTGTTTATCATTGTCAATGTCGATTTCCTTAAAAACATTTACAGGAGCAGGTCCATCTTCAATTTCAAGCAGTTCAACTTCAAAAATCAGTGTTGCTTTTGGTGGAATTCGATCACCTAAAAAATTAATTTTGGTAACCAATATGTCAAAGATCTTAACACAACATTCAGCAAAACAAAGTTAATTTTTAAAAAGCTATTTGTTTAATTTAAATGTTTGCATAATTTACATAAAATTAAAAAACAAACTTTTTAAGTTACTTTGATTTACCACATTCTTATAAAAGGCTGGCAACTTGTTGCTGATTTTGTAAATTACAAAAAAATGTTTCGGTTAATCTTTGGATTATGGTAACTTGGCGATTTTTTGGCGATCAACTCTGCTACAGCAACCTGCTAGTTTTTGTTTGGACGCCATTTTGTTTTCACGAAGTAAAGGCTTTTTTTTACTCAACATTTTTTTTCCAACAATCTGCTAGCCGAATTACGCTTATGCTAGAACTTTTATGCAACAAATGTGCTTAATCATGACGAAGATTAGGTGTGAAATTGGGAGAAAGTGCAGAATCGCAAACTGCTTGCTGCGCTTTTAAGAATTGCACATACACGGTATCCATGTACACGTCGACCTATTTTCACTTAAAAAAAATCATCCCAGAATTGCACATATTCCAGCGATTAGCCAATGTTTCTCTAGCTAATTTTACAATTCATAGGTAATGTTTCTTTCATAAATAATGAAAAAAAAAAACTTTCTACAAAAAATAGGAGAAAAAAATCGCATGGCCAAAATTTACACCTTTATGTGGATATTGTTCAGTGAAATAATGGCTAAATATAAAGCATGTAAATTCACATGTACTTGAGCACCTGTGTAGTACCTGATTGCATGGATAGCTTGTTGCTGCATGAATAGTCGTAAATATGCCATGAATACAGCACTTCTGTTGAATGTTGAAACTAAGGTGTGGATAATTCAGAAAACACCCATTTTAATTTTTAGGATCATGACATATATGAATATTCTTACAACTGAAGCGAAATCTTTTTGGAAACCACTTCTAAAGCTAACAAATATTGCTAAAACACATAGATCATATCATATATTGGTAGAACACATATACTGACTTCAGAGTCATTTTCTAAGGTACTATCTCCACAGATAAATTATAATCATGGATAATCATCAGAGTGAGACTATTATATTTAAAAGTATTTTTGGTACTTTTCCGTTTCGCCATTTTGACAACATACAGAATACACATAAAAAATGTTAGCAAATGTTAGTTCTAAGAATTTTTTATGAAAGCATAAACATTTTAATATACTTTAAAATTTTCTAAAAAGCCAATAAATTTGTAAAAAGACATTAATTTATGAATTTACTATGCTTTCATGTACAACATCCTGATTCGCCATTTCATATCACGTGACACCAAGTGATCTCATCTCACGTAAACTGCGCTTCAAAAATTTAATTCTCTCAGTAATTATCTACATTAACTTTAAGTTAAATCTTAGTTTGGAATATAAATGCAAGAATTTCTTCAATTCGTACAAATAGCTTACTCAGAAATTATGTAAAACTGCAGTGCTTTACTTCGCTAATGCATTCTCAATTAGAATTGATGAATTTAACCCTTGACTTTGTCTTTTCTATATTTTCGTCTTCGGGTAAGCAGTGTATCCTAATTGACTTAATTACCGCGACTAGCCTTAGGGCATAAAATTGAACTATCTGGTAAAAATTCTATGTAATTGTGTGCCAATATTGAAAGAAACAATCAATCTGATAAGAAATGGCTGCTACTTGTTTTGAAAATGAAGCATTAAAAGTTACCATCGAGGATATTCTATTTGCCATCAGTTGTGCCATTATTGGTGAGTTTATCGCCTGCGTCGGCAAAACGGAAAAGTACAGTATTTTTTTTAATCCCAGTTCTAACATACAGAGATTACTTGTATTTAAATGTTAGTACACGAAATTTTTAATTCAACAGCTATGACACAACTTATACAGTATGAAGTCTATCCAATTATCTGAAACATCTGTATGCCTTGCATTTAAAAATGAGGGAAATGAGGGCAAAAATTTAATGCGTGATCATTATGACAAATATGGCCTGTATGTGCAGACTATAACTGATATTCTACAGTGCATCATTTTGAACTTAACCCATTAACCGCCAAAACTAAAAGGAATGTTTCTTTTCTCATGAAAATAATAACAAATATTAAATTAAGCATTTATAACATAAATTTACATTGAAAATTAAAAAATGCTATTACCTGTGGAAAAAGCGAGTGATGCGCGCGCAACGTCAGCGGAATAAGACTACGGATGTTTAGTGAGTAGGATTGTAGTCGTGTGATGTTTCTTTTGAGTGGAGCACAGGATTACTTTTTAGCTGTATAACGTTTTATAAATCTACAAATCATTTTACTTGTAATTAATTTAATATTAAAATATACATTGTATTTCTTTTACAAATACAGATTATTTCATTTGAAAGACTCAAGCATGAAAAGCTTGATTACAATCATGATGTAAAGCTACATTACATACTTTGCATCTGTGGTGATGGCGATAAGGAGCGCGCCTTGCGCTCTCCGATAAATGTGGCAACCCTAGAGGAGAAGTTTCTTACGATTAGCGAGCAGAGCGAAACAGGCAGGCTGTCGGGGAGTATGCGCGATTTTCCTAAATAAAGCTTAATTTTTATTGTGCACTATGTCTCGTTAATATTTATATTAATGCAGTAAGAACATAATCTGTGATATGGAATTCGAGGATTGGTGGTAAAAACATACAGGAAATCACCATAATGGTAACCCGGACTGTGTTAAATCGTATGAACAGTTCTCAAGCACTTTCGGTTTTGACTACAAGCCATCACTCAAGATCTCCAAACCAGAAGAATAATGGATTACATCGGTTTTCATCCTCCGAATCACAGATGAGTAGCTAATTATAGATCATTTTATAATTCTGTTTTCTACTTATCATTTAATTTCATTTTCTTTAGTTAAATTTTTGCTTTTATTTTTGGCTTAAAAACCTTGCACAATGTCTGATGTTCATGCCGTCCAAATTGCGGTTTATAACCGAATCAGACCCATCTTTATGGTTTATTATGTGTGAAAGTACCTTTGCTCTTGCCACCCCCAAACCTATCACAGATCCATTACTAAATATAATTATGTAGTTTCTCATCTTCCTCCAGATATCGCATCATAGTACGGGATTTACTTATGAAACCAGACCCTATTGATCCATATGCAAAGCTTAAAACTGAGTTAATAAATCGTTCCAGGAGAATCTTCTCAGCAAGAAATTCGCCAATTATTATCTGGAGAAAGAATTTAGGTTCTCGAAAACCTTCCGATTTGCTTAGAAATATGAAACGTCGAGCAGAATCTTTAAATGTTCCTGATAACTTAATGTTAGAATTATTCCTTCAACGTTTGCCTTCGACTGTTCAGTCTATTTTGGCAGCGGTTTCCAATTTAACTGTAGATAAAGCTGCAGAAATTGCCGACAGAATTTTAGAAGTAAATCCAACCCCAGGGACTTGTGCCGTTTCTCGCACAGTCGATCAGTCTCTTGAGGATAAATTATTTAAACAAATAGAAAAATTAAACAAACGTATTGATCGCATTTCTCTTTCTCGTGGTCGCTCGCCAAATCGCGGAGATCGCAATAAGGAAAGAAGCAATTCCAAAAGGAGAGATTATTCTGTTGCTGGTATCATAGACGTTTTGGGAAAAAGTGTAGAGATGACAAATGTACAAACCTTGTTCATGGCAGGGAAACGAAACCAGCAAAGAATAGAGGCGACTTATTCTTTGCCTCAAGTTTCACGTCGCCTGTTCGTTCGTGACCGTAGAACAAACCTTTCATTCTTGGTCGATACCGGCTCTGACGTGTCCTTACTTCCAGCAAATAATTCTCAAAAACGGAATTCGTCCCAACAAACACTTTTCGCTGCTAATTCTTCTACTATTCATGTTTATGGTCAAAAAACACTTTCTTTGGATTTCAAATTAAGACGACAGTTTACATGGACTTTTCTTATAGCAAATGTTAGTACACCCATTCTTGGAGCAGATTTTCTCCATTTCTTTGAATTGGTGCCTGATCTCAGAAACAAATGTCTCAAAGATTTAAAAACGCATTTTAAAACCGTCGGTTGCGTGAAAAATGCAAGCATTTATTCAGTAAAAACTGTATTTAGTGATACACCATATCACAAATTTTAAAAGAATTTCCTTCAGTTACTAGATTACCAGATCCTAACCAACCTGTTAAACATAACACCGTTCATTATATCATAACTAAAGGTCCACCTGTGGTTGCAAAACCTCGTCGGTTAGCTCCAGATCGCTTAAAAATAGCAAAACAAGAATTTCAAACTATGATGCAATTGGGGCATTTGAGACCTTCGAGCAGCAATTATGCATCCCCACTTCACATGGTTCCAAAAAAGGGAAGTCTGGAATGGAGACCTGTAGGAGATTATCGAGCATTGAACGCTCAAACAATAAAAGACAAATACCCTATTCCATGTTTAGCCGATTTTACTGCTGCATTGCACGGTACTAAAATTTTTAGTCATGTCGACCTGATTAAGGCATACCATCAAATACCAATTAACCCAGCCGACATCCACAAAACCGCCATATGCACACCATTCGGTTTATTCGAAAGTATCCGTATGCAATTCGGCTTATGCAATGCATCTGCGACTTTTCAACGTTTTATAGATGAAGTCACGCGGGATTTAGAAGGCGTTTACGCTTTTGTCGATGACTTGCTCATAGCCTCTAAAGATTCTGAGGAACATTGCAGGCATTTGAAAGCTTTATTTTCCAAACTTCAGGAATATGGACTTTGCATAAATGTTTCAAAATGCACCTTTGGTCAAACATCTATTGATTTCTTAGGTTTTCACCTTAGTGAAAACGGAATTGAACCTCTTCCTGACAAAGTCAAATGTATTTTAGATTTTCCTCAACCTACCACTCTCACTCAGCTTCGCCGATTTTTAGGCATGTTTAACTTTTATAGATGTTTCATACCTAAAGCAGCACATATTCTTTCTCCTTTAATAAAATTG